TCCCCATCTTATAGATGAGAAACTGAGGCTCAGAAAGATTAAGTGACTTCCTCACAGACACGCAGCCGGCATGTCAGGTGGGATTGAAACCCAAGAATTCCCTGATTCCAAGTCTAAGGGGTTTCTTTTTGTTTGTTTTTTTAAACCATATTGTGGGTAGGGTGTTTTTTTCTTTGTTTTGTTGTTATTTTGTTCTTCTAAGCTTTAATTGGAAGAAAATGGGTAAAACTCAAAGGTCTATTTTCTTTCTACACCTGTGATTCTGTGACTTTTGACTATATTTTATTTTATTCTGAAATGTCTGTTGGCTTAGAGATTGTAACTAAGCAGCTTAGGAACCACTACATACATATTTGCTTTGTGTACTTAATTTAGCTTTGAAAATAGAGTTTACCTGAATGCTTTAATTAAATCTGAATCGCTGCCTCCCAGAGTGGGGGATTAATTCCAAGAATCAGAGACTGAAGATGAGCAAAGGCTGTGAGATATGGGGGAAATTAGGATTGAGAACAAGAAGGGAATCAGGGTAAAATAAGACTGGAAGGGTAGATTTGAATTAGTTACGTCTGGAAAGGTAGTTAGGTTTAGATGGGAAGGGGATTTATAGGGTAGAGTAGGTTAACATGCCCTTTTCTGTTACAATAGGGAAATGAGGATTAGGGAAACAGTGATCTAGTGGATGATTGTGGAGGTGGCTTAAAAATGTGGTTTTTAATTAGTTAGGTGGTTGGATTTAGGATGCCAGCAGTTGGAAAAGTCTAGTAAATAGTTACAAATAGGGGATTTGAGCCTTGGATAAACAGGGCCTGTGAAAGAAATTTAGGCATCCTTCCTATACCAGTTAGAGCAAATGCTAAGGCAGTTAGCATAGGAAGAAAAGCTAAAGATGAGATGATACTGAACAGTTGCAAGAACTTTAAAGTGACGTGTTCAAATGAGATTTATGCGATGTAAAAAAGAAAAAGATATTGACATTGATTTTTTTCCCCCCTATTTCCTGAAGAAATGCTGTTGATACAAAAAACCCATCACAATGAGAGACCAAAAGAGCCCAGAAACTGCTGTAGTCAGCAAACAATTGTCTCCTGGCCCTGTAGAGAGAGATGATAGCCCAGGACAACACTGGTTTAGAATATAACCTCATTTGTAAAACAGCGGAAAAGGGCAGGGCAAGATTATCAGTATCACCTTTGAAAACAAAAAAGCTATAAAAGCAAAGTTTGTAGAAAGTTTAGCATGAAATCGAAATAAGCCAACTCATCCCAAGAATGTTCACAAAAGAAACTAACAAAAGGGACAACAAGACACAAAATGAAAAAAAGTGTCAGTACTACTACATGAATTTTCATCATCAGTGACAGAGAAAGGAGCTATATTTGTATGGCAGCACCCCAGGCCTGGGAGTGCTACCTACTGAAGTCGATAAATTTGTGAAGACTGGCAGAATCCAGATGAAGCACATGCACTCTGGAGGAGAGCAATGCTGGAAACAGCGTGATCTTTAAAGGTCTGAGACATTACTTTACAAGGTATTTCAGGGAATGGTAATTACTAAAAAGGGGGGTGGGTGGGAATCAAAGATGATAAAATACTGTCTGCCCCAGAAAAAGCAACATCAGTAATTACCAATCTGTATGTTTACTTTCTTTTTCATCTTCATAAAGTCTTTATGAAAATGACCTACATTTCATTTTGAGCTTAGTCACAGATTTTTACAAATAGCTGACCACATCTTTACAGTCACATAATTGACTAAACAGTACAAGAAAGACATCATCATATGCATGAGACTTACTGCCGCGTTTTGCATCATAGATAATTTACTAGGTATTTACTGTGTGCACACACTGTACTAAAACCTAGTAACACAGATAACGAGCAAACAAAATGGTCCTTGGCCTTGAAGAGCTTGCATTCAGTGCTGGTAGAGTTGGGGTGGAGCATGTTCCCTGGGGATTGGTATGGAAATGCCCAGGAAGTAGAGTGGGCCCCTGATAAGAAACGCAGACACTGACTGATCCAAGCCTAAGGACTTGGAGGCACAGGGGTGAGGATGGAGGTGGAAGTAATAGAAAGGTTTAGGAAATGAGTCAAATGCTTTTTTGTAATCATTACAAACTTAACTCAGCAGGATCTTGTATTCTCCATACCTTTCAGTGTAAGACCTTTAAAGATGTGGTCTGCTAAAAAAATCATTTGTGGTTGTAACCTTTTTATATTTTCTTCAAGATGCCATCAATAACATTTAGATCAGTCTCAGGAAGATTTGATGAGATGAGTCAGTAGTTATTGATGATAGAATTATGGTTTTAGCACTAGAAGGAACCTTAAAGGTCTAGTCTCTGTCACTTTTTTTTGGATATTAATATCATCCTTGGTCCTACAGTACTTTCAGTATTATGTTACCTCCAGCACAGATTTCCTTGGTGTGTTTATTGTATGGCCTACCATTTTTTAAAATTTCATTGTCAGTGCCATTTCAGTTTTATTCTGTAATTCATTAGAGACTGAAGTGTTAGTGGAAACACCAGATTTGGACCCTACTATTAATGATGAATCATTAAAGAAATGTTTTTTTTTTCTTCCTTCTTCTATTTGTTGTCCTCTGAGTTTAATGCTCTTTGAATGATGTGGTTTTTTCCCAAGCCTTCCTGTTTTTCATTATCCAGTACTTTTCTATTTTATGATGTGCTAGTACTTAAAATCTTTTATCATCTTCCTCTATAGTATTTTGCAAATGAATTTGTGTTTTAACTGTTGACTTTAATGTAACTTTGCATTAAATTACTGGGAATCAAACATATATGGTGCCTGGTGTTTTTTGTTGTTGTTTTGTTGTTGTTTGTTTGTTTCTTTGTTTTTTGGGCAAGGCAATTGGGGTTAAGTGAATTGCCCAGGGTCACAGCTAGTAAGTGTTAAGTGTCTGGTCTGAGACCACATTTGAACTCAAGTTCTCTTTACTCCAGGGCTGGTGCTCTATCTGCTGCACCACCTAGCTGCCTCTGGTCCCTGGTTTTGGAAAATCTTTTTGAATTCTTTGTAGAATTTCTACATCATTTTGGTTTATACATTCAAATAATTCCATCATACCCTATAATAGATGTTGATACTTAAGTTGTAGTTATGGTTATTATATCTTTGCATTCTTTGATTTTTGAACATTGAGGGTATTAATAATTTTAATATTTAAAAATAATGTGGACTAAGTAAGATGTAACAAGGTTTGTTTGCTGGCATAAGTCAAATCATCTATGTTAAGTGCTAATATGATATATAATACCAAATTCTAATCTTTCTTGTCCATTTCTGCACATCCTTCTCCTTACTTCTCCCCATGAAGTTAATGTTTTTCTGGGTTTATTTAGCTGCTTAGAACAGAAACAAATTTTCTACTCAGCTAAGAAACTAGTAGTTTCACCATAGCCACATAACTTAACCTCTCATTTCTTCAGTTTATGTATCTATTTAAAAAGAAGTTGGATTATTTAAGTTTAATTGTAGCTTCTAGTATCTCAGTTATGTGATTCTAGTAATTTGTTAGCTTGGTATTGAGTAAATATTTGTTAATTGAGAGTTGGGAGTTAAAATCATAGAACTTTAAAGCTGGGAAGGATCTTGAAAACACTTGACCCAAGACCTTTGTGCCCAGTAAGGTATTACCCTGTTTTATAGAGCAGGCCTGTACAGCGGCCCACCAAAGGATTTCTGGTGGCTGTCATGTGACCAGCAACAACCAACCATTGTCAGTCTGTCTGTAGTTGAATCTACAGCTCATAGAAGACTTAGCCTATTTTAATTTTGGCCACTATCTACTGCCTAGTTGTTCAGGTCTGTTATAGAGAAAGGTTATGAGGCCTAGATTTTTTGAAATAAAAATTTTATTGATGGTTTTTTTTTTTTTGCATCACCAAAATGCCCTCTAATATCCCTCTCTCTCCCAGAGAGCCATCCCAATTAACAAATAATATTTTTGATGACAAAAAATGAAAATCAGAAAAAAAAAACTGATCAATCCATTGAAAAAGTTTAAAAATAGATGCAGTGAATCTCACTTGTTGATCTCTCATCTCTGTAAAGGAGTGAGGTAGGGATGTCTTTTATATTGCTTCTTTGGAGCCATATTTGCTTTTTGTGATTTGTTAAATTCCCTTTTTTTTTAAATTGGTGGTGGTTGTAGTTCTTTTTATTTTCTTTACACTGTTTCATGGTTTTGTTTACTTAACTCTGTATCAGTTCGTGTAGAATTTTCCATGCTTCTCTGTATTCATTATAGTCTTCATTTCTTAAAGCACATTAGTAGTCCATTAGGTTCATGTACCACAATTTATTTAGTCATTCCCCCAAAGGATGGGAATCTGTTTCAAATTTTTGCTGTTACAAAATGTATTACTGAAATACTTTGTATATGGTATAGTACATAGGGAGATTTTCTTCTTGTCAGTTACTATAAAGATAAGTAGTGGAATCTCTTGGTCAGAGGAGCTGGACATTTTAGTCACTTTATTTACATAATTCCAAACTATTTTCTAAAATGTTTGCAACATTGGTTCATAGCTCCACCAACAGTGCACTAGTGTCCATGTCATCCCAGAAGACCTCTAACATGGACCATTTTGATGTCTTTACCTATTTTTTCAGGGTGTACAGGGTATAACCTCAGGGCTTTCAATTTGCCTTTCTCTTATTATTAAACTGTTGGTAGCCTTCTTTCATGCGGTTGAAATTCTTCTGAGAACTATTTGTTTATATGCTTTGGCCACTTCTCTACTGAGGAATGACTTTTAGTATATGTGTTTATGTATGTGTGTGAGCAGGATGAAAGAATGAGCACTTCAGAATATTCAAAATCTCATCAGTTTCCAGTGGATAATGTACATTTAAGATTATGTTATAATATAAGAAATGTAGTTCTTCAGGTATTTAGAATGTTTGATTTATAACATTTATTATTCCCCCTGTGAAATTTTACCAATAAAAATACTATATTTTTCTTTTCGCAGGTGTGTAAACAAATTTGGCTAGGATTATTTGATGATAGATCTTCAGCAATTCCAGACTTTAGGGATCCACAAAAAGTGAAAGAGTTTCTACAAGAAAAATATGAAAAGAAAAGATGGTAAGTGAATATTACTTTGCTACTTCAAATGATAAATGTGATTTCATCAGAGTGAATTCTTCCAGCTATGCCCAAATAGACAATTTCATGAGATGCTATGACTAATCTTTTGATGATGAACCTTTCTGAACTAGATGTTGAGAATAAACACATGTTTTCACGTCCATCGCTGGGTTCAAACTTGAAACCTTTCATTTTGGATGGGAATAGTCAGAGTTTGAACCTCATTTATATCACCTAGAAGAATACAGGCTTATCTTGATGCCATGGTGAGGCATCAAAATAGGACTTAAGTGGAAATTAAAACTAAGGAAGAACATCCTGAATTCTAAAAGAAATGAGATAATGTAAGTAAAATAATCTTAAAGCAACATATAATTGTTAGATAGTATTTTAAAAGAAATGAGTTTGCATTGCTTTTCTCCAAAGATGGTAGCATGGCCCTTGTCAGCTGTTGTAGCAGATGACTACTACTTCTGTAGGCTCCTTGCTCTTGAAGTCTAGAACTTACTCTTTGCCCCTAGCCAAAAGAGTTGTTTCTTCCTTTTAGCTTTAGATAAACTGTATCCTTTTTGGATCTACTTTCCAGGATCTGTCTTTTTGCTTCATACTTCCTACCTACTCCAGTGTTCCTCCTCTTAGAATTGTTAAAGGTTTCAAACATTATCTAGTCCAGCCCATTCATGAAGAAGGAATCCTTGCTATAGGATCCCCAACAAGTGGTCATTCAGGCTCACTTTGAAGACCTTCAGAGATGGGGAGCTCATTACCTACCCTAGAAACCATTTCATATTTATCCAGTTTTGATTTTTAGGTAATATTTTCCTTATATCAGGCTGAAATCTCTCTCTCTGTACTTCCACCCATTGGTCCTGGGTCTACTTTCTAGGGCCAAGAACAGCATGAGTTATCATTCTTTTATATGACAGCTCTTCACATGTACTTGAAGATTACTAGAATGTCTCCCTAAGTTTTTTCTTCTTTAGGTTGCTTCCTCCATTCTTTAATTGAGCCTGGTATGATATTGTAATCTCTTTCCTTCCTTTTTCCTACATATATACTTGGAGATTTCTCAGTATTCTTCACAAATATGGCCCAAACATGGTACATGGTGTGTGGTCTAACCAGGGTTGATGATCTTTCACATTTTGGAAACTGTACATCTGTTGATGCAGCCTTAGTTCATACTAGCTTTTTTTGGGGGGGGGGGGAATCTCTAACATTATCTTATTGACTTACTGAGCTTGCCTTCACTAGTCTTTTTCAGAGGGACTGTTTTTTAGGCATGTCTCTGAATGTTGTTCTGAAATTGATTTTTGACTACTCTTGCCCCAATGCAGAATTTTCTATTCCCATTAAACAGTATAAGCTCAGCTTGACATTTCAATCTGTTGAGGTCTTTTTGGATCACTATTTTGTCATCTAAGTTATTATTTATCTCTCTCATATTGCTGTTATCCTGAAGCATCTTTTTAATGTCTTCCAAGTTTATGTATAAAAACAATGAACAAAATAGAGTTAAGTACGCATCCCTTGGGTATTCACTGTTGACCTTCCTCCAGGTTTACATTATTAATATGTTCCTTCATTCAACTATCTCTGAATTGTTCTAACTGTATCAATTCAACCTATACCTGTTGTATCCCTCAAGGGTGCCATGAAAGACATTTCATGTCTTTTTGACATGAAATCTAGTTGTACTATATATATCTCTGTTATTTTCTGCACTATCAGTCTGGTGACACTGTCAAAAAAAGGGAAATGAAGTTAGCCTGGCATAACTTGTTCTGAATGAACCAGTGTTGGCTTGAAGTGACCATTGCTTCCCTTTCTAAATACTAAGGAAACTAACTCTTTAATAATGTATTCTACTATTTTAGGAGGAATAAACATCAAAATTTCCAGCTTGTGGTTTGAAGAATCCACAGTGTTTTCCTTTTTTTTTTTTTTAAACATTGAGCAACATTTTTGGCCATCTTTCCCTAAAACTGCTCCCATTCTGCATAGTTCTTCAGTGATTGACATTTATTGACTTAGTGTCAGCCATAGAATCTAACTGTTATGACTTTCCTCCTTTGTGATCTTTATTCTCTCAGTGCTCACCAGCTCCAGAATACTGATTTGGTGGTAGAAACCTGGGGAGTTACCAACAATTAAGGCCCTACTCAGATGCTTTATTGTGAAATGGAAATGATTCTTAGTCTTCAGAGACCCAGCCAGTAGAAGGCAAGCTTGAAGTAAAGCATACATAGCTAGTATTGTACTAGAAGCCTTTGGTAAAATCTGACAAAGTATACAAAGGTTCATCACCTTGGCAGGCCACTTGGTGATGAATTATTTGGTCATGTCAGACCCACCAAAGGAAAATACAAAGTGGGCCTCAGTTCAGCCTATGTGTCCCCTTTTTGCTTCTGTAGTGACAGTGTCAATATTGGGAAAAGAGGACAGAGAGTACTAAAAAACACATTTTAAAAGCCACCTGTAAATATTAACATAACTATTGTTGTTCTGAATATGAACTCCTTGTTCAGTGGACAGTCAACATACTATGGGAGGAACTGAATCTTATCAATCGTAACTTTCTTCTTTATAAATGAAGCAAAGGATCGCAGTACACTGAAAAGATTGCTGACAAACTCCCCTTTGAGGGACAAATAAAAGTTGTCAGAGTTGATTTTTAGCTTATTTCCAAAAGTAACAAGAAACATTTTTTAAAAAATTGTTTATCTTATATTGAAGTGCTCATAAGTATTTTCAAAAAGACCACCACGAAGAAGAAGAAATGGAAGATGGACAAAAAGCAGACATTAACTTAGACTGTTTTCATTTTTAAAGATATTTAGCAGATATAGCTCAATTGCTCCATTGAGGAAACCAAAGAACTTAGGAACTGCCTGAGCCAACAAACATTTGATTTCCTTACCACGCAGAGAGATAAGATACTGGTGGCAACACCATCAGTTTAGGATATAAACTCATTTATTAAATCTTTTGGAAGAAGATACTGGAAGATTATGAGCAGCACTGCCTCATTAAACGATGTGAAGCAGTGGAAGGAAAACCTTGCCTAGAGACCCCAAGTTAGTCAAATCATCCCAAAGACTTATGAGGATAATACAAGGAGGAGAACATCAGGCATATGGAAAATGGATAAGATTTGTAGTCATTTTTCTATCATTTGTTTTCCATTATTGACTTGAAGTAGGGCTGTCTTATTTGGACTCCTAACATCACCATCCTTTTTCTGTTTTCTGAGGAAGTAGAAATTCCAGTAAACAAAGATGGGAAGAGCAGCTGGACTAGACCTAGGCATATATGGAATAGATCTCTATAGAGGTACCACAGTTTTGAGGGTATGGAGGGCTTGCTTTTCCAAATATCTGAAAGATTGTGAGGATACTAAAGGCTTGGAAAAAATCTCAGATATTGTTTCTAAAAAAATGTTGAAGAAGAACATATTAATAGCTGTTGCCCTATATACTTAATTTCCTTTTTCTGTGAAATTTTAATGAAAATGTTGTATACATGTATTGTAGGCATTCTTGATGAAGGTATGAAAAGAGGACAGACAGGCTTTTGTAAAACATTCTTTAGCCATCATCCAGTTGACTTAAATATATAGTGAATATGAAGTCCCACAGTTCTTTGTAAAAAACATTTGATTGAATAGAACAAAACACTACTTTAATAACTTTCATCCAATATAGTGCTTTCCATGCATATGTCAGAATTATAGAAGATCCAATGACAGGGGGAAGGGGTACATGATTTTACTTGATGACCTTCTCGTTAATATCAAGTAAGACATAAAATATGGAGACATTTGCTCAACTAAGGTGTTTGCAAGTGTCATGGAAGGTGTCTAGCATAGAGTCCAGATGGAAGTAGGATTACTCCTAATGTTCCTCTTTGCCAGTGACATTGTGCTGATATCTTTAAGCACTGGAACATTTGCAGAGCTTCCAAAGTAAGCTCCAAAATCAATCAAAAGAGCGCATGGGAAAAATCAAGTGGATGAAGAATGGCTGTCATACAGACCATGATAAACAGTGAAATGGATGATACACAGAACTAGTCTTATCATTACTTGTATGTCAGGCAGACATTGCTCATGGACAGTGAGCTGCACCTAGAATTGAACTCTTTAGAAAACTCTGGCTCCACTTCTTTGTGGGGATTATCTTAGAGTTATTAACTTTACTAAAGATTCTGTCTGAAACAAAAACCAACCAATATCCTTCCCGTGTTGCTGCATGGCTGCTAGTCATTGAATACTACCGTCAGAAGAATTAAACTTACAGCAAAAAGGCAAATGGAAAGTGAGTGTATATGAGCTGTTATAGAAGTAGTGTAAAGGATGGTATCAGAGAAATGTGTAAAATGGGTAGGTTGAAGAAAGAGGGAAAAAACCCTGTAGATTGTCTCTTTGCACTGGTATAGAAGGGAGCGCACCTTTCCCTCCCCTGTTGTGCTCATGCGCACACACACACGCACACATGCTATGTAGTCAGGCCTCTGGAAGATTTGTGGGAGAACACTGACAAGAGTTGCACAGGGTAAGAATACATTGCATTGTGCACCAATGGAATGAATATTCAGGTGGATGAGATCATAGATCTGGCAAAGCATTTTAATTAAGGACAGGAAAAAAGATTTGCTTCTGAATAAAAAATGTACGTGATTGTCTTTTTTAAATGTGTGATTGCCTTTTGAGGATGTTCATAAACATATCAGAAAATGGAAGGTTCCTCAAAGCTTTAGGGTGGTTGGTAAATTCTTTTATGACTTTCTAGCATTTGACTCTACCTAGCACATGGTCAGTGCTTATGTTTCTTCATTTGTGTGACACATGACACAATAAAACCTTAATAACTTTTATTAATCACCCATTGTGTTCAGCTTGACCATTCACCAGACTTTTGGCTATTTGCAAACCTTAATTCTCAGAAAATAAAGATTTTCTACATTGGAGCTATTGTTAGTCAATAAGTACTTGTTAAACATTTTCCTTGTGCTCTGAATACATAAAGAGGTAAAAGCCAGTCCCTGCTCTCGAGGAACTTGCAGTCTAATGGAAGAAATAACAAGCAACAATTATATATAAATAAGGTATGTACAGGATGAAAAGAAAATAATTAACAAAGGAAATGCACCAGGATTAAGACGGTTTGGGAAAAGTTAAAATAAGAAGTGAGAACTCTGTTCCCAATACAGTTACAGAGGGCATATTTTCTGAGCTCAAACTACGGTTCCATTTTGTTTTCTGACCTCACAAGTGCAGACAAACTTTTAATATTTCAAAATCCATTTTAACCATGCAGTTGAGAAGCTTCTCTAACTAACCTTCAATTGAAGTGCTTAATCTGCAATGTAATGAAAAGGAAAATATCAAGAGAAGAACCTAATAGAATTCTATAAATGCCTCTCAAATGATGAATATACTAAATTAAAATCACTGGTATCCATAAATAAAATCCATAATAATATATCCATAAATAAAATCATTGATATTTGTATTTTTCAGTACTTCTTATTATGAAAAGACATCTTCAAAGATGAAACATGTAAAATTTTATTTTAGATCAGCATTAACAGATGAACATTTCTAATTGAACTTAAACCCAATCAAGCAAAATGTTATCGCCCCCAAAAACTTTGTTTTTCTCATTAACAGACTTGTATCGCAATTATACTCAGTTATTATTGTTATATTTTGAATTTTGTCATTAAAAATCAGTGGAAATTTGTTTTCTCTTTTGTTATATAAGTTCCTATATAATACCCTTTATTTTGCTTGTTGGCCCCCAAACCTTAAAATATTTATTATCTGACCCTTTAAGAAACTGACCTCTGCTCTAAGTCAAACAATAAAGGATTTTTTACATATGTACTGTACTGAGATACAAAGTCAAAAGTAAAATAATCAAGGATCTTACTTGCTTACTCTATGTGCTTGTTGTTATTCATTTGTTTCTGTCGTGTGAGACTCTTCATGACCCCATTTGGGATTTTCTTGGCAAAGATACTGGAGTGGTTTGCCATTTCCTTCTCAGGCTCATTTTACAGATAAGGAAACTAGGTCAAACAGCATAGGGTTAAGTGACTTGCCCAGGGTCATGTAGCTAGTAAGTGTCAAGTGTTTGGTTTGAGGTCAGATTTGAACTCAGATCCTCCTGACTTCAGGTGCTCTATCCACTGCACCACCTAGCTGCCCCTAGTGTGTATCTCTTAGTCCTCATTTGCCATATGACTAGCTTACCTCTTTTTCTGATCATATATTTCCTAGTTGATAAAAGTCATTGTTGGCAGCATAGAAGTACATAGTAAATAAAGTACTCTATGTGGAATCAAGAAGACCCAAGTCTAGATCCTGCCTCAGATGCAGCATTTTTAACTCTGAGCAAGTCATCTAACCCATCTGGGGCTTAATTTCCTCTTCTGTAAAATGAGGGGGTTGGTTGGAGTGTGTCCTTTAGGGTCCTTTTCAGTTCTAAATCCATAATCCTGTTGTTGGTACATACTATATGTTTTCCATTGCCTACTGTGCCACTTTTTTTTGATTTTCTGAAGATTGTGGAGTATGATGTGCCCTGAAATAACATCAACAGGAAATACTGGTTTTAAAAACATGGGGTTTTGTGTCAAAGATGCTGCAGTTTCCCAAATGCAGTCTAGCCTCCTGTCCAATCCTGGGCTTGGCTAATTGTCCATTTTTAGTTTCTATCCAAAGTTAAAACATACACACATACATACACGCACACGCGCGCGCGCACACACACACACACACGTTTGGCCAGTGACCATGAATCTCATTGAGGAAGCTGTGTATTATATTGTGGCTCATTGCAATCTGTACAATGTCACATGTACATAGAAGTATTTGGAGGAGTTCAGTGTAGGGAATCTGCACTGGAAAAAACTGTTTGGCAAGTATATAATCTTCCTTCTATGCTTGATTTTAATAGAAGACCACTGCACATAATTATGTTTGGAGTGCATATAGATGTTTATGTATGTACTATTTTGTACTGTTTTCTACACAATTCAGGCAGTTTTCCTAATTGATCATTTCTTAATCGGATAAGTATTCCCCCCTCCCCTTTCTCTTTCTCTCCCTCCCTCCTCCTTTCCTCCTTCCATCCCTTATAGAGGGCCTTTCAGTTGTCTTCTTGTAAGAAGTACCCTGTATCTGTCTTGGGTACTTGCTCAACTTGAGTCATCATCCTGTCTTCTTTCTCACTCCAGGATTATTGAAGTCTTGTCTCTTCCCAGGTCCTAGTGACTTAGTATTTCCTGTCCCTTGAAGAAGTGGAGCCACACCTTCCAACCTCTTCCCTCTTGTGTGCAACAGGCCCTTTATCACCTCTCTACTGCTGAAGTCAACTATCAGTCTCTAATCCCCCTTCCAATTCATGGCCAGCCCCCCCACCCATTTTGTATGTATATGTGTGTGTATACACACATATACGTACACATATGTGTATATATGTGTTGTTACAGCATATATGAAGACATTTTCTTGGTTTTTATTTTGAAAACAATTTTTCAGCTTGTTTTGGGGGGTCTCTGTGCTGCCTGTACAGCATTGATCTGCTCTATAGGTATCTTTTTGTTTAAAGAACAAAAACAAAAACAGAAAACTTCAAGAACAAAATAACAAACAAAGAATCTCCTAAATAGTCTCCAATTCCTTTTTCTCTTTTTGTTTCTTATTCCTTAGCCATATTTTCTAACACACTTTTTGCTTTCCTCTGCCATCTTTACATTGAAATCACTAAATCTAAGTATATATGTTGGCTTGGTTTGGAGGATCTTATTGATAAAATTTGTGATTTGTTACAAAGTAATGTGACATTTCAAAATCACACCTCATTATCACTGCAAGTCAATGTGAATAACCTTGAAGAATTGGAAAAAAGATTACATTGAAGATTTATTACACCATAGCAGGAAACTATACTAGTATGCATTGGAAATATTTTTTTGCCACAAAATTTTTCAGTGCATTTGGCTTTCTAGTTTTCTATTTCTGTGGAGTTTTTTTTTTTTTAAATGTTAGTTGGCTGCATCCATATACTTCTTAAGGAATGTTGGTTTGATTAAAGAAAGGTTGCTAAAAAAAAGCAAAAAAAAAAAAGCAAAACTTCTTTGGCAAGTCCACTTGTATTTTAATATTTGTGTAATCCTTAGCTTATTTTATTTGATTCAGTTATATAGAAACAACATTGCTTTGACTTGTGAATTTAAAAGATTGTCTGAATTCTAATACTTGATGTTTTGTTTAGGTATGTTCCTCCTGAACAAGCGAAAGTTGTGGCATCTGTCCATGCATCTATATCCGGGTCTTCAGCTAGTAGTACAAGCAGCACACCTGAGGTAAAACCACTTAAATCTCTCTTAGGAGAGACAGCACCAGCCCTGCACTTGAATAAGGGCACACCCAGCCAAGTGAGTAATCTTAAAGGAAATTTTTATGCTTTATTCTTTAAGGTTAAAATAAATGCCACAAATGAGAAATATTTATGACATGAACATCATTGTTTTTCCTATTATTGTTAATTAAATGATTACTAATGTTCATAGTATTAATGTCATAAGATTCAATTAAGCGATGCGATTGAAGGCCATCAAGTGTAGATGTTTTTAACTTTTTGTCCTTAAGTATAGGAGATACATACTCCTATCCAATTGCCTCAGAAATTTGTAGAAATATAATACAAATTTCATATAGCTATAGTAATTTTATTCTTATAAGAAACTTTAAAATATTATATGTTTTATTACCTTTTATGATTTCCACTATTCCTTAGTTGGTTAAGAATTCTCTCTTAAGTCATGGTTGTAAAGGTGCCTCCTTCCACTTTCTGAAATTTAAAAAAAGTGACCTTTTATATTTAGGCTGTGTATTTGAGGCTTGGTATATAGTGTAACATGCTTATCTAAATCTATTTTTTGTCAAACCTGCCTACTAGTTTTTAAGATATGTAGTGAACAGCATGAATGAAACATGGACACTACTATTCTCAATCTGTAGATGAGGACGTTACGCCTCAGGTTATTTAATTGATTTACCCAGGTAATTTTTTCTTTTTTTTTTTAAATTAAGTCATTTATTTATTTTTACTTTTCAACATTCATTTCCACAAGATTTTGAGTTCCAAATTTTCTCCCCATCTCTCCCCTCCCCTCACCCCAAGACAGTGTGCATTCTGAATACTTCTTCCCCTAATCTTCCCTCCCTTCTATCAACTTCCCCTTCTATTTTCCTGTAGGGCAGGATAGATGTCTATACCCCATTGTCTGTGTATCTTATTTCCCAGTTGCATGTAAAAACAATTTTTTAACATTTGTTTTTAAAGCTTTGGGATCCAAATTTTCTCCCTTCCTCCTTCCCCACCCTCCTTGAGAAGGCATGCAGCTTGGTACAGGTTATACTTGTGTAGTCATGCAAAACACTTCCATAGTCATGCTGTGGAAAACTAACTATATTTCCCTTTATCCTATCCCATTCCCTGTTTATTCTGTTCTGTCTTTTGACCCTGTCCCTACTCAGAAGTGTTTGCTTCTGATTATCCCCTCCCCCAATCTGCCCTCCTTTCTATCATCCCGATTCTTATCCCCTTCCCCCCTATTTTCCTATAGGGTAAGATAGATTTCCATACACAATTGAGTGTGTATGGTATTCCCTTCTTAAACTAAATCTGATGAAAATAAGATTCACTCATTCCCTCTCACCTGCCCCCACTTCCCCTTCACTGTAAAAGCTTTTTCTTGTCTGTTTTATGTGAGATAATTTACCCCATTGTACCTCTTCCCTTTCTCCTTCTCCCAGTATAGTCCTCTCTCATCCCTTAATTTTATTCTCCAGATATCATCCCTTCATCTTCAACTCACCCTGTGCCCTCTATCTATCTTTTTATCTATATATACATATTTTTTTTTTCCGCTTCAACTACCCTAATACTGATAAAGGTCTCATGAGTTACAATATCTTTCCATGTAAGAATATAAAGAGTTCAACTTTAATAAGTCTCTTAAGATTTCTCTTTCCTATTTACCTTTTCATGCTTCTCTTGAGTCTTGTATTTGAAAGTCAAATTTTCTATTCAGCTTTGGTCTTTCCATCAAGAATGCTTGAAAGTCCTCTATTTCACTGAATGTCCATTTTTCCCCTGAAGGATTATACTCAGTTTTGCTGGGTAGGTGATTCTTGGTTGTAATCCTATCTTCTTTGCCCTCTGGAATGTCATGTTCCAAGCCCTCCAATCCCTTAATGTAGAAGCTGCTAAATCTTCTATTATCCTGATTGTGTTTCTACCGTACTTGAATTGTTTCTTTCTGGCTGCTTGCAATATTTTGTCCTTGACTTGGGAACTCTGGAATTTGGGTATAATATTTCTAGGGATTTTCCTTTGGGGGATCTCTTTTAGGAGGTGATCAGTGGATTCTTTCCATTTCTATTTTACCATCTGGTTCTAGAATATCAGAGCAGTTTTCCTTGATAATTTCTTGAAAGATGATGTCTAGGCTCTTTTTTTGATCATGGCTTTCAGGTAGTCCAATAATTTTTAAATTATCTCTCCTTGATCTATTTTCCAGGTCAGTTGTTTGTCTAGTGAGATATTTCACATTGTCTTCTATTTTTTCATTCTTTTGGTTTTGTTTTGTAATGTCTTTATTTTGCATAAAGGCATTAGCGTCCATTTGCCCCATTCTAATTTGTTTTTTTTAATTTTAATTTTAAAATAAAAGAATTATTTTCTTCAGTGAGCTTTGGGACTTCCTTTTCCATTTGGTCAATTCTGCTTTTTAAGGCATTCTTCTCCTCACTGGCTTTTTGTACCTCTTTTGCCATTTAAGTTAGGCTATTTTTTAAGGTGTTATTTTCTTCAGTATTTTTTTGGGCCTCCTTTAGCAAACTGTTGACTTGTTTTTCATGATTTTTTTGCATCATTCTCATTTCTCTTGCCAGTTTTCCCTCTCCTCTTACTTGCTTCTCAGTCCTTTTTGAGCTCTTCCATGGTCTGAGACTGATTTATTTGGATGTAGGAGTTTTGATTATGTGGTCTTCTTCTGGTTCTATGTTTTGATCTTCTTTGTCACCAAATAAAGATTCTATGATCTGACTTGTTTTGCACTATTTACTCATTTTCCCAGCCAATTACTTGAGTTTTAAACTCTTTGTTAAGGTAGGGATCTGCTTCCATTGTGGAGAATGTACTGTCCTACACTTCTGGGGTTTTGTGCAGCTGTTTCCAGAGATACTTCTGAGGACCTATAAATTTTCAGTTCTTCCAAGGTGGTATGATCAAAGGCGAGGTGTTTATTCCTTTCCTGGCCTATGCTCTGGTCTATGAGTGACCACAAGCACTCTTTTCTGTCTTGGAACTGTGAAGAGGATTCTCTCAAAAGCTCTATCACACCAGCGCTCCTTCTTGCCCCGGGGCCTGCCACCCAGAACTGTGACCCAGATCCCAGCATGGGCAAAGCAAGAGATTCCTGCCTCAGCACCAGCAAAGAGATCTCTGTAATCCCCCTCTGATCATCTGCTTCATCCCCCCTCTGATCATCTGCTTCATCCCCCCTCCATCTGTGGGCCAAGAGCTCCAGAAGCAGCTACTACCCTCGGGTTGCGCCAGGACCAGGGCTGGACTAAGCTCCTCTCGACCGCAGTCATAGACTTTTCCTGCTGACTTTCTAAGTTGTCTTTGGCGTTTGTGGGTTGAGAAGTCTGGAAACTGCCACAGCTGTCTGTGATTCCGCCCCTGAGGCCTAGTCTTTGCCTGTGTGCCCACGCTGAACTGCGTTCCTCTTCCCGCCTGGCGCAGTAGATCTTTCCAATCAACCATCCAGGTTGTCTTGGGCTGGAAATTTGTTTCACTCTTTTTGTGGGTTCTGCTGCTTTAGAATTTGTTTAGAGCCATTTTTTACAGCTATTTGGAGGGGTTTGGGGAAGAGCTCAAGCAAGGCACTGCTTTTACTCCTCCCTCTTGGCTTCACTATCCCCTCAGGTAATTTCTAAGAGTCTATTCCAGTTCTGGAGTCTTATGTTTCTAAGTCATGGGGACATTTCTACTGCTCCTTGCAGTCTAGAACTGGTTTTGTTTGTTCTTTCTAGTAACCATAAAGATCAACCTAAAATTATGTCATAACCCTTTCATAGGATCGTAAAACTTGGAATTGGAAGGGTCATTAAAGACATCTACTCTAAAATTTTTATTGATGAGGAAACTGAGACCCAGGGAGGGGAAGGGACTTTTCCAGTGTTCGTCAGTCAACGAACCTTTATTAAAAGTCTATGACAAGTCACACACTTAATGCTAAGTGCTAAGGATACAAAGAAAGGTCAAAGACAGTGCCTGTACTTAGCGAACTCACAATCTAATGTGGGAGACAAGTAATTATGCAAACAACTATGTGCAAACAAGATATATACAGGATAAATTGGAGATATTCAGTAGAGAAAAGATACTGATGTTAAGGGGGATTAGGAAAGACTTCTTGAAGAAGATGGGAGCTGAGACTTGAATGAAACCAAGGAAACCAGGAGGTGGAGATGAGAATGGAGAGAATTCTAGGCCCGGTGGGACAGCCAGTGAAAATACATGGAGTTGGGAGATATCTAGTGTCTTTTGTGAGGGACAGCCAGTGTTGCTGAGTAAGGTTTAAGAAGACTGAAAAGGTAGGAGTAGACCAGGTTATGAAGGGCTTTGAAAATCGGAGGATTTTATTGAATAGGGGATTAAATGATTAGACCTGAACTTTGAGAACATTAGTTTGACAACTGAGTGGAAGGTAGACTGTAGTGGGGAGAGACTCGAAGCAGACAGAATCACCAGCAGGCTATTGCAATAGTTTAGGCATGAGGAGATGAGAGCTTGTACTGGTGTGGCAGTATCAGAGGAAAGAAGGGAACTTATATAAGAGAGATTAAGAAGGTAAAATAAAGAGGCTTTAACAACAGATTGGATATGGAAGATATGAGAGAGGGTGAGGAGTTGGATGAATCTAGATTGAAGGCCTGGGAGACTGGGAGGATGGTAGTACCCTTTACTAGTAAAGGGAAAATTCAGAAGAGGGGAGGCTTTAGAGTAAAAGATGTTAAGTTCACTTTGGGCATGTTGAGTTTAAGATGTTAATGAGGCATCCAGTTTGTGATGTGTAATAAGCAGTTGGCGATTCAAGACTGCTAGCCCAGAGAAAGGTTAGGGCTGGATAAGAAGATCTGAGAATTATCATCCTAAATCTCATAATTGCATCTTTGGGAGCTGAGGGGTTTACTCAGTGAAATAGAATGGTGGAAGAAGAGAAGAGGACCCAGGACAGAACCTTGGGGAGCACCAATGTTGATATAACCTCGACTAAGGTCCAGCGAGGAGATTGTAGAATGGTCAGGGAGAGGGTGGGATTTGCTGAGCTGAATGGTCTCCTTTTATTGAAGTACTATTTCAATTCCTTGGTGTAATCAGGAAGAGGCTTGATATGCTGTTGTTTTTGATCATTAAAAATTCCAGGGCATTTGTGGTGTCATGAGGCTTTTCTTGTTAACTTAATTGATGATGGGTTTCTGCTGTTTTGGTGGTCAAGTTATTGAGTTAAACAGTGTCATGTACTTTTACTACTTGCTCTTCCAAGTTGAAAGAAACTTAAAAATTTGAAGTCACCAACTCTGCTTAACAAAGGTAGGATTTTTGTTTAGGTTATAGTTGAATCAGATGATTCTGAAGTTTCTTTGAACTCTGAGATTCTGTGAAGATTGCACTACTTCATGATGTAGAAATTTGGTCTGGCCTGGGTTCATGATAGAAGGCAGAATTACGCACTAGCACATTGTCTTCACAGCCCTATAGTGGAATGGGACAGTTTTCCAACTTGCATAGTTGGAAAATTATGAAGTTTTTATAATTCAGAGCACTCCTGTAATTTGTTATAGCATAGAAAAATAATAGACTCAGGTTTTGACGTAAGTATGTTTTGAGTTCGTCTCTATTCCCTCCACAACTCTCTGGAAGAGGGCTTTTTTTTTTTTATGAGAGAATGGCTACAGGGGTTGTCGTTATCATAGTATGGTCCTGACTAAAGCTTATTCTCCTAGTAGGGATTTACAATATTGTGTTATAGTAATGCTCTTTTATGGTTGGAAAAGAGCATTAAAAGGCTTGGGAATCAGGAGCCTTTAATTTTGGCTTTGTCACGCATTAATTATGATGCTTTGGGTAACTCACTATCTGTAGCTCATTTTACTCACCTGTCATTTAGTCAGCCAATGACTAGTGAGCCCATACTATGGCAAGTTTTACCAATGAATTGTAAAACCACAATGGGGAAATTGTGGTCTTTGACAGATTATTTTTGGCTATTATTTATATTTAGAGTGATTAAAATGACAAAGCCACTTGGAATTACTTGTTCTTAAAAATATGTTAAATTTTGTGGATGAGAGATAACATTATTTAAAATTTTGGTAAAGCAAATTGGAGATGATTTCTTTCTTTATAGCTGGTATTTTCTTTGTAGTCCCCTGTTGTAGTTCGCTCTCAAGGACAACAGCAGCCAGAAAAAAAGCAATTTGACCTCCTGAGTGACCTTGGCTCAGACATCTTTGCTGCTCCAACTCCACAGTCAACTGCTACAGCAAATTTTGCTAACTTTGCACATTTCAACAGTCATACAGGTAAGATTTTTGTTTGATGATAGCTGCCTCAAAAATACATTGTACTTAAGAAGTGTTTTTTCTTGACAACATGTGTGCGATGTGTTTTTCCAATACAAATAATTCACTGAATTCAGTGTACTTACTGAATGTTATGTCAGTCATTCCAGTTCAGGTTTAGTTTATCGGTTTGATAGTTAAACAGTTTCATCAAACGAGTCATGATTAAAATTTGGATTCTCATTTTAAAGTATCCATTTATGGAAACTGTAAGATAGTTAAAACATAAAGAGGCTTTTTTTCTATATTTTGTTAACTATTGTTAGTACCAGACTATTTTGTTGAAAGACTTCATTGATGAATAGAAGTTATACAAAAGAATTAAATATTTTTAACTTGATTAAAAAGTAGGTGAAAATTTTCCTTTGGTAATGAATGTGGATAAGTCCCAAGTAAAGAACAAAGACAAACATGAACCTTTAAAATTTTTGATTTTGAAAATCTGGATGATAGGTTTATTTATTGGCATGAAGTGACTTTTTAAATTCTGGGTCCTAGTACCATAAATTGGAGTAAGGGGAATTCACCCTATCTAGCTCTAAAGGTCTTTTTATTTAGTCTCTTTTCTTTAGTTAGGGCTCATATCATCTGTCCTAGATCTATTATCATCTATTTTTTTAAAAAAATTTTTTTAATTTTAATTTTTTTTTGCTTTTTGGCTGGGCAGTGGGGTTAAGTGACTTGCCCGGGGTCACACAGCTAGTAAGTGACAAGTGTCTGAGGCCAGATTTGAACTCTGGTCCTCCTGACTCCAAGGCAGGAGCTCTATCCACTGCACCATCTAGCTGCCCCGATCTAAAGTATTCTTAAATTTCTCCAGGTCTATTCCTGTATTTGGGCACTTTCAGGAATTACCCTTTTGTTTCTGAGCTAAATTTCCCTTGCTTTAGTGCAGATTTTCTGAATTTACATAATTTTGGTTTTCCCTTTATTCTTTTTTTTTCTTTCAAATATCAAGGTAATATAAATATTCTACTTTTTAAAGAACAACATTTGACATTTATGTAGGCTAGATCAGGCAGTTTAAATTACTATCATTTAAATATTGTAGTAGATAATGAGGGGGGAAACCAGAGATTAATCAGACACAACCTCTTCCCATAAGGAATGTATAAGTCAGTACACAAGTAAATAGAATACAAAGTAGAATTATGAGTCTGTAATAGAAGTAGAAAACAAAATAAAGATTTGGGATCAGGGAGAGATCACTTCATCACCGCATCGGAGAGTATGTCCTTCCATATGTGTGGTCAGTAGACCTTAGAGACATTAAACTAAATGGAGAGCACTAATTAAAAACTTTTTGTTTTCAGACTGTCATTTTGAGGCCAACTTAGAATCTCTCCTGCATTTGTTTATTACCTGGCCATATATTGGAATATTGGCTGAAACTCATTCTTGCTCCTCTGTCATTTGATTTTATCATTTTTGAGCTAGAGGAAAAAGGGAGTCTGCATCTTTCAGAAATACGTCCAACATGATTTATATGACATGTGTGAACTAATGATTCCTAAACTTCCTTGTTTTTCTTTTGTGTGTGATTTGAGCCACTTGAATTCTTGGGATAAATACATTCTGATCTGTAATGGGACAGAAGGGAAAATTGGAAGTTCTGAAATACTTTTCTTTTTGTTGATATCATTTCTGAACAGCAAAAAGCCAGAAGAATTTAAGTGTCTTACTTCAAATTTCCCAAGTGGGCACTAGTTTTTTTGTTTGTTTGTTTGTTTGTTTGTTTGTTTGTTTGTTTTAGGCAATTGGGGTTAAGTGACTTCTCCAGGGTCATACAGCTAGTAAGTGTCAAGTGTTTGGTCTGAGGCTGGATTTGAACTCAGGTCCTCCTGACTTAAGGGCTGGTGCTCTATCCACTGCGCCACCTAGCTGCCCCCTACACTAGTTTGTTTGTTAACTAAAATACACAACTCTTGGTCTCACCTGTTATGCCAGACTGGTGCTTCATGACCCTTTGGCTGGCTGAAGTTGGAGTTTTTAATCTGAAAAGTTCAGATTGTCTTGTTTCTCACCATATATAATATTTTGTCCTGAATTAAATTCTGGTTTCAGCTTTATTTGGATTTAGTCTGTAGTCATATTTTCAGTGTCTCTCTGCTTATCACTTAACAATTAAATACCAGATTTCTAAAATCAGTTAGCTAACTAGCATTTATTAAACCTTCTGTGTGCCAGACATCTTTCTAGGTCCTGGGGATACAAAGAGAAAAAGAAAACAATTCTATTCTCAAGAAGATTACGTCAGGGGCAGCTAAATGGCACAGTGGATAGAGCTTTGGCCTTGGAGTCAGGAGGACCTAAGTTCAAATCCAGCCTCAGACATTTGACACTTACTAGCTATGTGACCCTGGGCAAGTCACTTAACCCTGATTGCCTCAAGATTACTTAAGTGACAGCTTAAGATTATCTTCATATTATATTTTTTAAAATTAAAAAATGAATTAACAAGCATGTTCATAGACTTCAGGGTAACAGTTATTATGTCCATTTTAGGTTTTTTCATATTTCTTAAATATGGCAGTTTTGAAGAAATGGTTAGAATTTCAGTCAGCATTTAGCATTACTGACCTCTTTAAATGTAAAAGGCCATCATTTAAGGAGATTAAGTACCAAGTTTCTTGTGGGTGCAAATTTTAGCCTTTTGGAGCCTTTTTCTACAGAGAGGCAGAAATAGCTTTTGAAAGAAAATCTGATGTCTACATATGCTTCTAAAGATACAGGATTACCTCCCTTATTTGTAAAGCAGAGTCTCACTGGAGTGCCTAAATTCTGTATCTTGCAAGTGGATTGTAATTTAAAAGCCTTTTTTTTTTCTTTGCCTGATTCTTTTAAACTTGGATGTTAAATGAAGGCTATGTGTATATGGGTATGCACATGTGCACACACATGTGTATTATAGAATATACATACAAATTACACAGATAACAAGAAGTGACTAATGAAACCAGTCCTGTAGTCCCTCAGGCCTTGTGCCATTAGCATGCTGTGGTCTTGCTCAGAAATAATTTGCCTTGGATTCGATTCTAAATCTAAGTCATTGTTTTTGAGTCAATCTAAAATTCTTTTTCTAGAAGTCCTTGCAAGCAATCTGGGCTATTTCATGTTTTATATTTTGAATAGAACAGATGAAGTTTCTGATAGATGACAAAGCTCTCATCACCAGTTTTTTCCCCAGTTTGTTTTTTTTGTTCATTTGATCATGTCCTAAATAGATTGATGATCTAGCAGATGGATTAAAATTAGAATTGTCCACAAGAAACAGTGTTTATATAAATGTACTTTCTTGCAGGAAACATAAATTTCTTTTTCAGATAGATAAGTTAATTTCAGTAGTTCATGTGTCAATATCCTTTTTATTTTTTTTGTATTGCTGATATTTTAAAAATATTCTCATTAATTTTTATCTGAGTGGTTAACATTTTGGTTTATTATTGTTAATAACTAACATTACTCTTATCTTTGAATTTGTTCCTTCCTTTTCTACTACCCATCAAGCCATTCCTTGCAACAGAGAACAAGAAAAGGGAAAGAAAAAAAAGCAGCTCAGCAAAGCCAAAATATTCACAATCTCTACGGTAGATGCAATATTTTACACCTGTAGTCCCTCATTTCTGGAGTTAGTGGGGAGATGTGACTTTTCTCAACTCTTTTCTGGAGCTAACACATTTTTGTAATTATAACTTGACTGAAAGGTGCAGAGAATGCAAGATTTGACTATGTTTATTATTAAGAAGAAGAAAATTCACAGCTCCACCACCAATGTATTACTAAGTTAAGAAGCTCTTTCCTCAGGGCAGCTAGGTGGTGCAATGGAGAGAGCATTGACTCTGGAATCAGGAGGACCTGAGTTCAAATCCAGCCTCAGATATGTAACTGTGTGACCTTGGGCAAGTCAGTTAACCCTTGATTGCCTCACCAAGAAACAAAAAAAAAATCTCTTTCTTCATAACAACCTTGTGAACTGAATCGTACAAGTGTATTACACTCTCCTACCTCCACATATAGATTAGGAAACTTGGACTCAGATTAAATAGTTTTTGCCAGGGTCATAATAGCTGGGAAATTTCAGAAACAGAATTCAACGTCTGGTCTTCTTTCCACTCTTTCCAACTGTAGTCAGAAAGGAAGTTGATTTGTAGTTAATAAGCAGATAATTTTACAGCTGGATAGGGCCCGAGAGAACATTTAATCTAGGTATTCTTAACCTGGGGCCTATAACCTTTTATAAAGTATTGTGATCACTATGTAAAAAATATCATTGATTTCCTTTGTAAAACTCTGTATTTTATTGTATGCATTTAAAGACATGATTCTGAGAAGGGATCAATAGTTTTCATGAGACTACCAGAGGGGTCAGTGACACACAAAAAAGAGGTGAAGAACCTCTTATCTAGTCCTTCCTTTTTATTTCATGTGAGGAAACTGAGGCTTAGAGAACATAAGTAATTTGCCTAAGGCCTAGTAACTTAGCTGGAAATATAGCGTAGGTCTCCTAAACTCTATCTAATTACTCTATTTTTTTTACTCTAACATGATACTTTCTTATGGACTCAAGTTGGTTGTCTCATATTCAGCCAGTCACCTTCATATTTATATATATAAATGTGGCCAAAGGTAGAATTTTAAACTTTTAAATTATTGCTTACTTGGTCTAATGTTTAAAACAAAACAAAACAAAGGAAGAGTGGCTAATTTATTTGTGAGGCTTTGGGACTTGGTCTCATGGTTATCCCTTGTATGAATGTTAACGCTGCTGCTTCACACACTTAATTTGATCATCCCAGCAACCCTTTAAGGCAAGTTCTACTGGAAGTACAGGCTGAGAAGTTAGTCGTTGGCTAATTCATGGGAAAGGTACCAAATCAGGTAGGGTCGGCCCTCTTTCTTTCAGCTGCTCCTCCATTGGACATCAAAGAATAATCAGTTTAGAACTGGAGTATATTTAAAGTCATTTGGGCCGACCCTGTTATTTAAGTCAGACATCTGACTTAAAAATTAATTTTTGGTATACCATTTGTAAATTGGGAATTGAAATTACATTCTCCTTATTCATTTTCATAAGAAACTATATTGGGAGGTTGTTATGGCCCCTTATCAAGTTATGCTAGTAAATGAAAGATAAATGCCAGTTTTATTTGTCATTCTTTTATTTCTAAGTCCTGCAAGAACCTTCTGTTCTTTTTACCATGGGTGTTCTCTTCTTAACTCTTTAGTTCAACAAAAGTTCATTATGCCTCTGTGATACATATACAACACACTCTGCTGGGTAGTAGGAATATACAGACAACAGCTGGAGCAGTTCCTCACCTCAAGTAGCTTATCTATTGGAGGATACAACATGAATAAAAGGAAGGAAGGAATAAGGAAGGGAAGAAGGTTGGGAGCATTTCTTAATGTGCTAAGGACTGCAGATAAGGAGCTTTAAAAAGTTCAGCTTTAGGGCTGTACACAGATAAATAAAAACAAAATAAATTGAGGAGAGAGAGAGAGCACTAACAATTGGGGACAATCAGAAAAAAGATTTTGTGTAAGAAGGGGCACTCAAGGAAAAGTACAGATTCTCAGAGATGCCATCAAGAAGGGATTCTCTCCCAGGAGAAGAGCACAGTGTTCAAAGGCACAGAAAGATTTGAGGGTGTAAGATATTGTACTAAGTTTTGAAGTTAAAAAGAGAGGTAAAGACAGTAGCTGCCCTCATCAAGCTTGCTTTCTATTGAGGGAGGCCACAAGTAAATAACTTTTAAGTTACATGCAGAGTAGTTGGAAGGTAATCTGAGAGGAAGGCATTAGCAGCTAGGCGGGACCTAACCTCCTTTATAAGACGAGATTTGAACTGAGTCTAGAAGAAAGCAGGGAAACTCATTCGTGGCAGTGAGGGGGCAGAACATTCCAGAATTTGGAGATAGCCAGTGCAAAGGGACAGACAGGAGATGGCCTGTCATATTTAGGGAATTGTAAGTAGGCCAGTGTTGCCAGATGGTAGTGTGGTAGTTTGTAGAGAGGAATAAAGTGAAAGACTGTTTAAAAAAATTTGCTGGTATTTATTTTATGGTGTTGAATTTTTCAAGAATTGCAAGTTTTAACATATAAATTGTTTGCCATGCTACTGTGGGGTATTTAGGAAGCCACAATATGGTTAAGTCCTTTCCCTCCTTTTAAAAGAAGCCACTTTATTTGCTTTTGGTTAGTTTTATTTATTAAAGGACATTAATTACATTACTGAGAAACAAATATCATATGTGGCTCATGAAAAATTATCAAGAACAAAGTGCAATAAGTAAAGTATTGTGACTCTTTCCTATTGTAATTCCAAAGGTAGAAAGGAGGGATAAGGGCTCAGAAGAAAAATAAAAGCAGAAGTAGGTTAAAAAAATAACCTTGAGGCCATTATCTTCCCCCCACCCATGCCCAAGTTTTCCTCTTCCAAGAAACCGCTCTTTCCAAAGAAGATTCTTCTCTCTTCACAATTTTATTTTTCCCAGATGAGCACATTTAAGCATGAGATTTCTCTTAATCAGTATCCTAATCTTCTGTGTTAGGACACCCACACTGACACCGTGACACTTCTTGTTCTACTCTCTTGCCATCCTTCACTTTGAGGAAAATAGCTGAATTTGTTTTTCTGAGTTTAAGTAACTGTTTTCAAATTTCTGCTGTCCTTAATTTTAAAATATTAGTATCCATTATTCTAATAATTGTTTGAAGATGAATGGCAGTATTGTGTTAAAAGCTATCATAATTTATGTAATTGGGATGACAACCATTAAAGTGTGGCCATCTTGCCAATATTTTTGTTATTTTAATGGTGTTTTAATTAAATATATGTAAACCTTTTCAAAATCCTATTCTGTGACCTATAGAAAGGAAAAGGGAATCTCTTCATAGATTTAGATTTTATAAAACAAAATAAAATTAAAAAATACTTTATGCAATGTTATTACAGTGCTTGAATCCACTCAGCTAAACTGTACCTTTATTTTAACGCTATTATATCTTGATGTTTTCTTTATCATTCCATTTAACATTCTATCTTCGGAGTTTCATATAATTTACCAGATTAGTTTTACATGAAGCAGATACGTTCCCCACCAAGTGAAAAGGTTTAACATCACAGGAAATTGTGAGAATTTCTTTGGGCAAAGTTGCACAAATTTGTTTCGGTAAAAACCTGATCTAGACCTTTAAGAATTAGGTGATGCTGTAGTGTATAATTAATTTTACAGTGTAATGTAAATTGTGGTTCACACAAAGGTTCTCCCAAATATCATAAGTTCATTTGTCGTCTGTTTACTTTTGTTTTTTCTTTTCCATGTTCATTAACATGTCTTGTTCCTTGCCATTTACAGCTCAGAATTCTGCAAATGCAGATTTTGCAAACTTTGATGCATTTGGACAGTCTAGTGGTTCGAGTAATTTTGGAGGTTTCCCCACAGCAAGTCACTCTCCTTTTCAGCCCCAACCTACAGGTAGAGCGATATAGCATTATGCTTAATTATTTGTTTTATTTTATTTTATTTTAAATACAAAATCTCTCTAGATGTAAAATTTTAAAAAATTATTTTAAGTTCATTTTACATAATTACTTGGCTTAACACAAGCCTTCCTTATGCAGCTCTGGGGAAACCTAAAATGAATAGTTTTCCTTTTTCTTTTCCTGGGCTTTTATAAACCATAATTCATAACATATTGTCTCCTTTTTTTCCTACACATTAAGGCTATTAAAAACTTTTCTGAACTATTGAAGCTTTCATGTAAAAGTTTTATTTGAATTTTGTTTTATTGGCTTTATTGATCTCATGTCTCTGTAAGGGAAATTGGATAATTTCTTCTTTTGTCATTATGAAAAACAAATTTAATTTTAATTTCTCAAGCCAGAAATGTTAGAAAACAGAAAAGATTTACATTGACTTCTTACTTTGCAGAAGACTTTGTGTGTAGGAACTGTTGTTTAAATTCTGAATTTCTTTCTCAAATTCTTGTTTTTAAAATTCATTTAACAATTGCTGTTTGGCTAAATCCTTGGCTTATTGCTTTCCTTTCAGCTTTGTGTATTGAGTTAAACATTTTCTTTTAATTTTATTTTTTCCATTCTCCCTCCCCTCCTTTATAATTTCACTCCAAATTATTTCTGGCCATCCAGCATTTAGAATGCTTTCATCCAGCTGCAGTTATGGGGACTTTACTTCAGCTTTTCCTCTCCAGGCTGTCCACAGTAAGTCCTAACATCATGTAGGAAGTCTAGCTTGTGTTTTGTGCTATATTTCTTTAACATTTCATTTATTTAGTTTATTTCTTAATTCATTGTTCAGTTCTTCTTATGAAAATTATATTTCACATTCTAAATTTTATTCAGCCCATTCCTATATATTATTAAATCCATTTGGGGAACCCAATAATATATCTACAAGAAAATAAGTAAGGCAAAATTGCAATGAGAACCAAATAAAATTTATTTTGGTAGGAATAGTGGTGTTTTAAGAATTATAAACCAGCCTTTTGAGACAGATAAATAGTTAGGTAGTACAAACATTGTCTTTATTTTATAGCTGGAAGAAACATATTCAAGAAGTATTTAGGATCTTGGATTTAGAGCTGAGAAGTTGCTCAAAGGTCAAGTCCAACTCCTGCTCATCTTACAGATGAGGAAATTGAGGCCCAGAGAGGTTTTAAGTGCCTTCCTTGCCCAAGGTCCCATAAAGAGTAGGTATCAGAGATGAGGTCAGAGACCTAAAAATGTCATGACTGGTGGGAGCTAAACACCATACCTGATGGAGTTAACAACTTATAATTTAAGGACTAAATGAAAACTTGAGAGGGGCCTTCTCATTTCAAGTGGTGTCCCCATTGATTTCTTGCCTAAGTAGCCCCTAAGGACTTGGCTTGTTGGAGTTTCCTTGTTACCCCCCATCTTTTCTGTTCCATTTTTGCTGGCAAGAAGAGTTTCCCCTGTACCCCTTTTCTTCAACAGCCTGGAACCAGTATAGAGCCCTTATGTTAGAGTCCTACTAGAGCACATAGGCACCTTCCATGCAACTTAGAGTCTTAGAGTTACCTGGAAGTCAGTGTTCTCAGTGGTCATACAACCATTAATGTAAGAGATAAGACATGGAACCTCCAGGCCAGCTCTCTGTTTGCCTCTCAGCAAAAACATACAGTGACTCAAATAATTTTAAAAAGACAAAAATTACCAAGTTATGTGTCTTGATTCTATGGGCCAAGGCTCAAGGAACCAGATCTTATTCTTATTTAACTTTCCCCCTTATGATTTCCTTTCTTTCAGATATTGTCCTCGAAGGCAGTTGTCCTAGGTTTCTCTAGTTTTCTGTCAGGTGTCTTGGCCCTTTTAAAATCTGCTTATTGCAACTATAGCTATGATTGTAGGGGCCCCAGTGCTTCAACAGGCATTTTTAGTTTCTTGTCTTCTCCCTCTAATTCCTTCCTCCCCCGATCCTCCCATGCCCGTTATCTTCTAGTGGTCTTCACTCAGTCTAGATTATCTGGCCATAGACCCATCGGAGTTCTGTATTTACCCTAGCCTCCTAGATATCCTTCAAGATTTGTCTTCCTTGAGCTTTATCCTTTCTGTACTTAGCTTGACAATTGTTGCTTTCCTGGAAATCTCAGTGGCTTTGGAAAGAGACTAACATTTTCTCCCTACCCCTTTCCCTTTTTCAAACTTCTTTGTTTTTCCTCTCTTTTTTTCTCCCTTTCCTCCCCACCCCTTTACTTCCTTTTTCTCTCCTTCCTCTTCTCTACTCTACCCTTTCTCTCTCCTTTTTCTTCTTTCCCTTCCTTCCCTTTGTCTCTTCTTTTTTTCCTTCCTCCTTACTCATCTTTCTGTTACTGTTCTCACTATTTCCCTTCTCTCCTACTTTTTTCTCTTCTCCCCTCCCACCACCCCCCTTTACATTGGATCCTGGAATTTCTGTTCTGGCTGACCCATTGAAGCATATTTGTTAGGTACATATGATAATTAATTCTGATCCTTTTTGGTGAAGTTAGCTACTCAGCTCTATTGTTGGAGACTGGCATTTGGACTCCCTCTAAAGGTCATGTAGTTCTGGAACCATATGATCTAAGCCACCATGATTTTCTCTAAGACCCCATATTACTTACTGTCATAACTTTGCTTCTACTCTTCCCACCTCCCCCTACCCCCGGGTCCCATCTAAGTTGATAGACATCAATTTAAATTGGTAAAGTTCCCACTAAATTCCTGTTCCTGGGATTCATTGGCCCATTCACTGACCTTATTATGAAACACTGGATTTTTTGTTTCTGATATAGCTGCTTGCCCTTCCTCCCCGATTAATCCTCACATGACCTCCCCATAGATTCCTTCTTCTCTCTTTTTAAGAAAGAAAAATAACATATAACAAATAACATAAAAATGTCTCTAAACTGCTACCACTAAAGCACAACTGCAATTTGTTTTGAAATTTCTAATTTATTGATATATTTTAATAATTTTTTTTCCTAAAAGGAGGAATACTTTCCTTCCTTTTTAGAAGTATAAGCTTGGTAATCCGAATATTTTGCTTTCTTTTTTTTAAGCTGATTGACTGGATATAGCTCAACTAAACTGCTTCAGAATGATTTGAAATCTAAGGATGAATGGAGTATATGAGACTTAGAAGTACATTGTCAAATGCCCAGACCTTTGACAGTCCAGTAAATTAACCCTTAAGGGTTTGCTCTAGACTTCTATGGGTGTATATGAAAATTGCTATTAATGCATATATGATTTTTTTTTTTTAACGAGAAGTGATGTCCTTGACAAGGCAGTAGTTCTCAAACTTTTTGGTCTATAGGTGTTGATATTTATTGTATTTGAAATTAAAACATCTCGATACTGTTATGTAAATAGTTTTGATTTCTTGGACTTTTGACTTGTCCAAGGTCACCCAGCTAGTATGTGTCAGAGGCAGAACTTGAACCCAGACCTTCCTGACTGAGGCCATGCTGCCTTTTATATATGTGTATGCATCTATGCATCTATAAAATATGAGTATATGTATATACACACACACTTGTGTGTGCTATATATAAGTGATAGTTATGTATAAACCATACATACATATGTATCATAGACTAAAAGGGCTTTTTATTTTCCTGCAACATGTTTTCATTCTCAGTCTTGGAGTGTGGTATACATTAGAATAATTACATGAAATTCAACATTATTACCTCTACAAATGAAACAAATCTAGGGATTCTGAACTACTAGACCAAATAATTCTGGGTCAAAACAAAACATCTTTCATACTTTGTTTAATGGACTAGGTATTTGTTTCAGCTATACCTCCATATGAAATTCACAGAGAACTTCAACTTTCAAGTAGCATATTTTATCTCTTTTCCAAATTCTTAGTTTGAGAACAAAAAAAAATCTGTCTTTAGTACAGTTGGTGAATATTATAAATAATATAACTGCTTAGGTAACACATTAATTTTTGTAACTTAGAGAAATGAAAAGTTAGGGTAGAAGTACGTACTCTTCATTTTATGAACATCCTGAAAATTAAGATGTGCAGACTATGTGAATTCACGTTAAGAAGATTGAAACTCATTTTCACATAGTAAAACTTAATTTTAAGGATGTAGGGTTACATTCAGATAAACAATTATATTGTCATATCTAAGAATATTGGGGAAAGATCATATAAAATATAAATGTTTTTATTTCATTACAGGTGGAAGTGTGGGATCAGTAAATGCTAATTTTGCCCATTTTGATAACTTCCCCAAATCCTCCAGTGCTGATTTTGGAGCCTTCAGTTCTTCCCAGAGCCATCAAACTACAACAGCCATCAATAAAGTTGTACCGAAAAAAGCTAATCTTCAGACAACTGACAAATATGCGGCACTTGCTAATTTAGACAATATCTTCAGTGCTGGGCAAGGTACTAAGCTTAAAGAAAATTCCAAAGTCCACGCGTGTTGTAAATGCAGATGTATTCATTAAATCTGACGATTATACCTTTCTTGGTTTTGAAAAAGCAGAGTTTACCTTGCTAAGGATTTTGAGGTAATTTTGAAAATTTACCCGAGGAATTTCAGACAGAAGGCACTTTAAAATTTTAATAGTCCCTTAAGCCTTCTTTGGAAATTAAACACAATTCATTTAGTACCATCAGTCATTTTTCTTGGTTGATTATATTTGAATCATTCTCATAAAGTCAGTTACGTTGTGTAAGAGGTTATCTTTACACACATTTAAATAAATGAAGGAAAAAACCACCAGAGTCTCATAACTGTAGAGTCCCAGGGCTTGAGACTTTAGCTAAACAGTGATAATGTTAATGTTCTTTTAATTGTTTTCAAGTCTTTGTCAGGTATACTATAGTAACCATGAATAGAATTGAAACAATTAAATGAATGTCATTAGAGTATAAGATGTACTGAATCTCTTGTACTAAAGTGTAAATAAACCATGCTTCCAAATTCGCAAGTCAGAGAGTAGCTCTGATTATGTTTAAGAAGTGGATGGCAGTAACATTACTGATTGAAAACCTTAGCATAATCTACCAAAAGCATCTAGTTTTTGTTTTTTAACAACTCTTGAGAGATGACATTCTGAGATAAGTTTTTCCATTAATATGTTAGTCTGAAGTGTAGTTTTCACATATTTAGAGACATAATATATCTCTAAACCTGTTTAATCAATATCTAAACTTACAATATACTCGTAGTAAATAATAAATCAATTTTTACAAATCTTTCTAATTTTAACTTTACTTCAGTTTAGCACATAAGGATATGCCACTTTGTATGAATTTAGGATTTACAAAAATATTTGTAGTATAATGCTTTATATTATGAAAACTGAAAATTGGCTAAAATTTCTATTATGTTCCTTTTAAAATCTTAATCTTATTTCTAAAGGAAACATTTATGTTTACATATAGAATTGTAAAGAAGGTTTTTATCTAAAGATTTGACATTTTGTAGTATCTATTCTTTGCCCAGATAGTATTCTGAAAACTACCTAAAATCTTAAACATTCATTTCCCCATGTGCTGGAAATCTGTTGTCTTCAAGTAATTTGCAAAGTTATTTTTATTTAATATTGATCCTGAAGAGGAGAATACAACTTTTGTGTAACTACTCGAGAGCCGTTTGGTCAGATCTTTTCAAACAAACATCAACAGACAGATGACCTTCCTTAAATTTTATTAACCTTAGTCAAACTCTTTTGGCTGAAGAAAAAAGTTAATTTATAAGCTATTTGCTTATAAACCTGGGATTTTAAAAGAAAATACCTATTGGAGATTAAGATATTTCATGAAATCCTGACCAAAAATGTCACCAACACGCTTTGATTCTAAACGTTTAAACTGAGGAATCCTGTAGCATTGTTTTTTATATAGATGTCATTCCAAGTAGAAGGCAGTTTCTGATGTAATAATTGCATTTTACGTACTACTTTTCTGATCAAACCTTAACATTCATACACCATTTTTTTTTGGTTTGTTTTAAATATATGATTTTATAAGAATTACTGCATTGTTACTCAGGACTTAGTTAAGTCTCAGGGGCGAAATTTTCCTAATAGGAGTGTAAGATTAGGAAGTGAAATGGGGCATCTAGTTCAATGCCCCCTCTCATTTTACAGATGGGGAAAATGAAGTGTAAAGACATTGAGTGTATGTAGGTACTAAATGACAGAGTTGGAGTTTGAACTCAACGCCTCTACTTCCAAATATAGTGTTTTTTCCACTATAAAATGGAAGTCAATGACAAAATACATAATTAACCAGAACTTTGCTTTATACCTAATGTTTTGGGAATTTATCCTCCCAATAAGGGGTTTTGTGTGTATGTGTATATCATAGATACACATTTTGTGTGTGTGTGTGTGTGTGTGTGTAGACACAAGTTGTATGATGTCTTGGTGAGAATAGCTTTAGAGAGAATTTCTGAAGTTAATATTTAAATTTGTCAATAATATGCTATTCATAGAAATGGTTTTACAGTTCTTAGTTTTAATTGCATAATGCCAAATTTTCCAAGCTGATGTGTGCACTGATCTACCCTGCCTAATTTTATCAGTTACTAAATTCATCCTGTGTAATAGTAGTAGTTTCATGTTTGTGTAGCATTTATGGTTAACCAGTTCCCATTATTTTATTCATTCACCAAAATTTTTTTCAAAATCTATGTACAAAGCCACAGTTTTTAAACACTGTTCATTTTATTGGTGCATGAAGGAAGTTTCTTTGCTGTTACAAATCCAGCTAACTTTTTAGTCTAGATGTTTAAAAGAAATTTTAAAAATTTTAGGTGGTGACCAAGGAAGTGGCTTCGGCACAGTAGTTAAAGCTCCAACAGGCGCTACCGTTTCAACGCCAAGTCAGTCGACCGTATCGTCAGACAAGTATGCAGCTCTAGCAGAATTAGACAGTGTTTTCAGCTCAACAGCAACCTCTAGTAATGCATATACTTCTACCAGTAATGTTAGCAGGTACTTTTTCTATTTCAAAGTTACTTTCAACTCTCTATGTCAGAATCCGTTGCCTCACTGAAACTGTGGGAGTAAATGAGTTTGCTAAGCAATAGAGTATAGGGACAGAAGAGAAGAGGATCAAAATTATAGAGTTGGAGAAAGGATAGAGAACAAGGGAAGGGGTAGTTAGGCTGAAGGAAAGCAAGAAAGTATGGTATCTCTGAAGCTTAAGAAGGGTTGTCAATTTGTCAGAAGCTGCAGAGAAGCAAAAGAGTTACCAGATTGAAAACTGACCTTTAGATTCAGCAGTGACTGAGTCATTAATGGCATTTAAAAGAGCAGTTTGAATGGAGTAGTGCTGGCAGAAACCCAAATGCAAGATGTTGAGGGAAAGAAGAGTATGTGTGGACAGCGAAGACGTGGAAACTTTCAGGTATAGGCAACTTTATAAAAAATTTTAGGAATGAAGAGTCAAAGATAAGAGATTTTTAATATTTTTAACTAATGACTACTAGGAAGAAATTTAAGATGCAGGGGAAAGGAGATGACTGCTGGAATAAAGTGCTGGAGGAGGCAGGAAGGAAAAGGGGATAATGGATAGAGGTACTCGTTTGAGTAAGTAGGAGGGATATTTATTCTGTGAGCAGAAAGAGGGAGGAAGAGAGAATGATGCTGCTGACGAGGTTTCCGCAATGAAGGAGGTGACCTTATTGGCCTCATTGTTTATAGTGAAGGTAGGCTGGGTTATTTAATGTAAGTGTAAGGGAGAGGAAAATATTAAAGGGAGAGGAAAATATTCAAAGTAGTCGTTGTTGGGAACATTGTTGGGAACAAGGAAAGGATAAGGGTAAAATTAACAATTATCAGACAGTAGGAAAGACCCAGTGAATTTAATATGCCATGAATTTGTAATGGTTGAAATCAGCTCAACTTTGAGACTTTATCCAGCCAATGCTTGACATCCTTGAAGCAAGAAGAAACCATATAGAAGGGATTGGGATTTGAAGACTCAGAGTGGCAGAGGGTCAGTCAGAAGGAGCAAAAGATTTTCAAGTAGTTATTAGTGAGTCAATTAAGTGGTAGACCATGTGGATGAGACTGGGTATGAAAAGGCAAATGGAGCCAGAGTGGAGGACAGTGACTGGGAGAATAGGAATGAATTATGGGATTAAAGGTGTTTGCGGAGTAGATTCAGTGTGAGATTAAATGAGAGAGTAGGAAAGGCACAAGGATCACATATGGTTGGAGAATGAATTTCAGAGTTCTGAATCTGGGGGGGCAGCACCATCTTCCAGTAGTCTTCCAGTGTGGTAGAGAGAGGAAGGGGTGTTGGCATCAAACACTTGAGGATTGAGATTGTTAGAGGAGGGTATCAGCTTAAATATATGATATGCTCATATGTTACTACTGACACTGGTGAATAAGCACTGCTGATAGTAGCTAGTAAATTCTGATGTTTTGGCAATGAGAATCTTAAAATTTGAGAGATATAAGGAAACTTAAGGATTGTCTTATCCAACTTCCTCATTTCATAGATTAGAGAACTGAGACAAGACCAAAGTTAGAATTTTCCCATTCAGTTTGTTCAGCATTAAGTACCTACTGTGTGCCTACACCATTGTTAGGCACTGGAATGCAAGAAAAAGTGAAAATATTCCTTAGAGAATTTATATTTCCTGGGATGGGTATGAAGATAAAACAGATAAGTAAATACAAGATAATTTAAGGGAGACACCAATAATACCTGAGGATTGCATAGTGTCTTCAACTTTAGGTTTTTCTGTAAGTAAACCATTACTGGGGAGGGGGAGGGGGGACAGTACTTCTATTTCTTTTTATTTATTTATTTAACTTCTTTATTAATATATTTTATTTATTAATAAATAATTAATGTAAGTGATAAATAATAACAAATAATTAATATATAATTAATTATAATAATATAAATATAATATAAATAATTAATAAACAATTAATTAATATATTAATTTATTACCACAAGTTGCCTTTTTAAAAATTCCCATTAGTTATTGCATTAAGAGAGAAGTAAAAGTAAAGTCAGTTCACTTGGCTTCTCTTTAGTTTAAAAAAAAAAAGACTAAGGTGGGAGGAGAATTCAGATCAATGACTAAGTTCTTGGATTATTTATAGATTTTTTCTTTCTTCTATTAACATAAACTATGTTAAGCATAAGAGAGCTGGCTACCTTGAATGTCACCCTTTGTTGTATTTTATGCGATTAAAACCTTAAAGGTTTTTGGGACTTTTTTTTAATTGAGCAACTTTGACTTCTTTAAATATTTATTTTCAGCAATGTTTTTGGAACAGTACCAGTAGGTGCTGCTACACAGACACAACCTGCATCTTCAAGTGTGCCTGCTCCATTTGGAGGTAACATAAAATATTCATTAGGTTCATATTTCTTGTACATTTTCTAGTTTCTGATGTGCTGCACAAATAAATGCTTACAAGAATGTATTAAAAAATGTTTCCTAGTCTCTTGAATTAATCAAACATTTATATAATCAGTTAGAAATTATATATTCTTTGATGAACAAGATAGTGGATTACATAATTACATAATAAGTATATAGAATACTTTAATAGAAAAAGAACAGTTATTTTATTGGGTGTCATAATTTCCTTTTCAGCTACACCTTCCACAAATCCATTTGTTGCTACTCCTGGTCCTTCTGTGGCGTCATCTACAAACCCATTCCAGACTAACGCCAGAGGAGCAACAGGTAAGAAAAAAGCTAACCTTGTATGTTTGTTGGTAATCTTTGAGGAGATGTTAATAGCTAGCATTTATATAGCATTGTAAGGTTTGCAAAGTATTTACAAATATTATCCCTAGGTGAGAGGTAGTTGTTATTATTATCCCCATTTTTACAGATGAGGAAACAGAGGCAGACAGATGTTCAGTGACTTGCCCAGATTATACAGTAAGTATTTGAGTTGAGATTTTAACTCAGGTCTTCCTGACTTTGGGCCCGGTGCTCTATCCTCTGCACTGCCTCTCTCTCCACAGGTGCTAACCAAGAGGTGCTTTTTAAAAGAGGTACCAAGGAAGGAACCCATGATGTCAGTTCACATCATAAATTAACATGGAAGTAGATTGGTCCATAATGGAAAACTAATTGATTTAAGTTTTCCAAATTACCTTTTGAAATATATTTAAACTTTTATCATGGACTTTATCACGACGCCTCTAGAAATTATTGCAGAAATTTTTTAACAGAGTCTCTTAATAACAACTTGCTATAATGCATAATGCAAACCACTTGTAAGATTTGTTCTTGTCTTCTGTGTGATGGAAACCTTGAGAATATCTAGCTGAGAAATGTAGATGTATAATGTGCTTTTTGTTTAAAAAAATCCTTCTCATTTTTAGCTCTTGACCCTTTTGATTTGGACCACAGCCTCATCTGTGGTACTTTCTTGGTTTGTATCTTATTAATCTGTCCTCAAAGCCATTGCAGCACCTCAAGGATACCTGTGTGGGTCATATGGGATGGATAGTGTTACTGTCACCTCGCTATTTTTTGTTTTTGTGTTTCTCTGTCATAACACTCTTACTGCTAATGTTGAAATGCCAACCAAATGAGATCATAATGTAAATCTTAATAACTAGATTTAAAATGTTTTCACCAAATTAGTCCCTCTTTACTCGCAAATCTTTCAGTTTGTGTTTGACAAGATTTAATTTAGTATGAATATTGAGTGATTAATGTTGACATTAGCTGATATTTTTATTTTATCTGCACTGTTTTTTTTTCTTCACAATTTCTTTGGTGAGTAGTTTTTTGTCATTTACTGGTATAAAATGTCATCAGTATAAATAATAAAATATTATGATATTTTATTTCAGCTAGCCCTGGTCAACTGATCATTTTTAATAATATCAGCTTCTTAATAATAACAGCTCACATTTACGTAATGCTTTAAGTTTCATAGATGATTTTCCTCACACCAACTGTGAGGTCCCTAATAGAGATACTGTCATCTCTGTTTTACATATGAGTAGACTAAGGCTCAAAAACATGAAGATCATAGCCTAATTAAGTGTCAAGTCTGCAGCATATACCTGGTCTTCTGAATCTTACCACTACATTCCGTTGCTTTTTGGACCATATCTTTTCTAAATTTGCATATCAGCATGGGCAGTAATATATTTCTTAATTAAGGTTCATCTTTCCCTTGTAATTAATTTAGTGAAATTTAACATTAAGATAGTGATATTTTTGTATGTAATACAAAAAGACACACATATATTGTCAATAAACATTTATTAAGTGCCAGCTATGTGCTAGGCCCTGTTCTAAGTTGGGATACAAAAACAAAAAGAGAAAGGCAGTCCCTGCCCTGAAGGAGATTACAGTCTACTGGGAGAAAGACAACACACAAAAGGAAAGTGAAAAGCAAAGAGGAAGGAAAGAGAGAGGAGAAGGTGCCAGGTAGGGACATGGTGGAGAAGTTGATCAGAGAAGTCCCAGAACAGGGTGGCCAGGGGAGAGTTTTGAGGTGTCTGAGCTGAGCTCCCTCCTCAAGGGGAAGTTTGAGGTTCATGGCCCCACCTCCAGTCAGAGAGGCAGAGGGGTGTTTGTGGTGAGGTGGGGTCCTAAGGCTGATGAGGATATCCCAAGAATGAGTTTCCTGAAGCAAACAGAGAAGTCCCAGAGTAGAGCAACCAGAGGAGAAAATTTTATTTTTTATTCCAATGGTCAAGGTATAAACATTTTAAAAGTTCCTCTGCCTACTTTAAAAAAGTATATGAAGTCCTAAAATGGTTAAAGTAATCATTTCAGTTATTCAAATAGTGACCGTTAGTGCTGTAGAATGTTTCTTAGCAGTTAAATGAGGTGATAACTGCGTATAACTGTAAAACTATAGATATAAATTAATATTTGAAGAGGCATATATATGGCCTTCATATTATTTTAACCTCTCTGTCTTAGACTCATTGTTGGTTTCTCCATCTAATCCATGTTGTTGACTTTTTCCTGTGCTTGAACATTTTTTTCACCTTTGTTAACTTAGCTCACATAATCATTTTAAGTTAATGTACTAAGTTAAAATGTTAAATACAATGCCTGTGTAAAGAATGTGACTTTTTAGGAGTCGCAAACGGTTTTTGGGGAACTTTTTTGGAAATGTGACTTTTTAGACATTGATCTATTTTATTTTAGATCAACCTTGGAACAGATATTTTGTGTGTGGCTTATAATGTATAAGATGACATTTTCCCCCAGAAGACACAATTGAATGATAGGAATAAATAAGCCTATGTCAACTTTAGACTCTTAGTAATTGTTTTCTGATATTTATCACATCTAGTTAACTACTTGTTGAAACTGCCAAATACATTCTGAGGTTTGAGTGTATAACTGAAAAATAGTACTGATTTACTGGATTTTTTCCTACCCTGCTTATATTTCCTATCTGGTTAGCATAAATACTTTTTTTCCTAGGTAGCAATAAGTATTTTCACTTTTAAAAAAGTCATCTATTCACATCTAGCCCTTTTATAAAATAGAAGTAATGTTATTTGATAAATGGCTGTCCATAAATAAATCTAAATTATTTGACACTGTCTGGTCTCTTTATGGCTCTCCCTAAGGCCTGTCAGGAACAGTGCACTCTCACGTGTTTCCTCATGCTCATTTTGGTAGGTGGCCCTAGCTGAAAACATAGGCTACATGTGGCTCAGTGTTTCCCTGCTTGTTAAAGCTTCTTGCTGGTTTCTAGTTCTTTGCATGTGCAAATTTTAGTAGGTTTCTTCCATGTTTTAAATGGAGTGGGCATGGATGTTTACCATAGGTTCAAATTATGACTTATAATTACTTCAATATTTAAAAAAAAAGTATTGTTCAAAGCATTATTGCTTACTTCCATGGTCACATTAGTCTGTACCTGTAGCTTCTTTAGTGTCCTCCTTGAAGTCTCTGTTCTAGTAGCTTGAGTGACACCTTTTGGATGTAGCAAACCATTGCACCATATTATTCCAGTGAATTTCATTTGTGTATGTCTTGACTTTTGCTTTGCAGTGCTTTCTCAAGAAGTATTTGTCAGAGTTATGTTAATGAATCATTTGTTAGAAAGCCCTCTTTTATCCCATGCCTTTTCCTTTTAAATTCAGATGCTTCTAAAACGATTTCATCCTGCTCTACCCCCTTTTTTGGTAAATTGTAAAGGAACATGATGGGAAAAAATGGGTATATTTATGTCACATTCTAAAAGAAGAAATTAGGGTTAATTTCATATATATGGACATGGATGGTATGAGGATTAATTTTGGCAAAAATCTACAAAAAGCTTTCAGGTGCTCTGAGAAATACAGCATATATTGTATATTGTTATCACTATTATGCTTTAAATGAATGGTCCAGTTGATAAAGAGTCTGAATAAAAAGAAATTGGCTTTCTATTAATAGTTTCAGTAGAATTCATTGTGTGAAGACTGTTTTCTTGGATTTAGAGTGTTGTCACTAGTTTTTATAATTCCATTCAGATTTTTTTTTTCCCAAGTATACATGAAATGGGAAGATTCTCACTGGATTGTTCAACAACAGTAAAGCATATAAATTTTTTTTCCTGAAATAACTTAGCAACACTATCTTTTTCTTTATACTTGCAAACATGAATGCATGTTGTTGTTTTAAAATGTGTATTGGCTTGAGCTTTATGGAATTATTTGTCAGAATCTAAATAAATACGTATATTTTGAGTTTTTGAGAATATACTTTTTAAAGGTTATTTCTAGTGATCACTTTACTAATTTTATCCAGGAAAATGTATTTTGGGGGAATGAAAAGATATAGATTACTAAGAGCTGATATGTTCAAAATACAGTGCTCCATATTAATTTTTAAAAATACCATATTTTTTGTTTAGGTTCCATCCTAATACAATTCTGATTAAGTACATTTTTGTTATGGTGCTGTCTGTTACAGCTTCAGTACAAGGAGATGTAAGAATGCTTTTTTTTCAGCATAGTATTTCTATGGATGTCTAATGGCAGTTATTTTCCCTCTACAAGCGGCAACATTTGGAACAGCATCCATGAGTATGCCAACAGGATTTGGAACGCCTGCCTCCTACAGTCTTCCGACTAGCTTTAGTGGCAGTTTCCAGCAGCCTGCTTTCCCAGCCCAAGCAGCTTTTCCTCAACAAACAGCTTTTTCTCAGCAGCCCAATGGTAAGATATGACTCATGGGTGGCTTATCACACTAAACTAGACATTGTGTTAAAGGAATCACTTTGAGAGAGAAAAAGAGTGTGTGTGTGTGTGTGTGTCTGTCTGTCTGTCTATGCGTGTATATGTATACACACATTTGTGATTTCATTTTATGAGTGTGTATTTCCATGTGATAGGCAATTAGCTAGAAGCTGGGGATGCAGAGACAGTGAATTAAATAATCTCTATTTTCAAGGAACTCTCATCCTACTAGGAGAGAACACACATATGCACATTCTTATATGTATGTATCTGCAGAATAAATACGAAATAACAGGAAGGGAAGAGATGAAGTACCTACCATAAGCCAGGCACTGTTACTGCTTTACAGATATTTTTTCATTTGATAAGGTAGTAGCAAGGGGAAGGGCCTGGGAATTAGAGAGCAGAAATTACCAAAGGCATCTTTAGAAGTGGTGCTTGAGCTGTTCTTAAAAGAAGAGAGGGATTCTATGAGGCATAGGTGAAGTGGGAGTGCACTCCAGGCTTAGGGGATAGTCAGTGCCAAGGCCAGGGGATAGGACAGTGAAGAACAAAGAGAAGTCCAGTTTAGCTGGATCCCATCGTAAAGGAAAAGGGAAGTAGTGTATGATGGAACCACAGTGACGGGCTGAAGTCAGGTTGTGAAGGACTCTTAAAAGCCAGAGTAATTTCTGTTTTATCAGAGTGAATGGAGAGCCACTGATCCTTCACTTAAAGAAAATTGTCATCTATTTGTTATCATCTGTAAATTAAAATGTATAATTATCCAGTGCTATTATGCTTCCGCAGAAAACATTATTTGATAGTCAGCATAATAAATTAGAATTGTTCCTGACAATTGAAGTCAGTTGTTAGATAAACTGGTAGAGTGTGAACTCGTAGAGGGCAGAGGCTGTCTCACATTTGTACTTGGATCCCTACTGCCTGACACCTAATAAGTGCTTGTTATTTGACAGAATCTTCTGACTGTTAGTTATCTAAGGTACTTTGGTGGTTGAGGCATGGTGAGAAGAGAGCTATTTGTTTGAGAGCCATTTGTTTTTAAGACACTCTAGAGGAAATTTTACAGCTGAAATTTGAGAGGGAACTCTCAGGGCATAGTTCACAAAAATCTTTAATATTAATATTGTACTCTGTACTGCTAAAGATGGAATTTCTAAGAAGCTGATTATGAGACTTCATAAGCATAAAGGCATCTTTTTCATGTATGGATTGTAATTGATGGGTCTATGTTGAACAAGGTGCAGGTTTTGCAGCATTTGGACAAAGTAAACCTGTGGTGACCCCTTTTGGTCAAGTGGCAGCTGCTGGAGTGTCTAGTAATCCTTTCATGGTAAGTGAGTTTAACTGCCTAACTTTCTAATTTTGCATATTTGAACACATATTACTATTTACAGATTTAACTTCAGAAACATGCAGCTATTTTTCTTTCAGATTAGGAAAAGAAATGTGAATCTTTCTATATGCAATTCAGTATTCTGATGCCATGGCACAAACAGATTATCTATGGTTGATCCTCTTCGGAGGATTGTAATTTTCAGTTGGTGAGCTAACACACAAACATGCAGCCATGAGCAAGCTACTCACAGACTGAAGTCATCTTGCTCCATCCTCTGCTGAAACATCAAAGGCTACATTTTATAGAAATAGGGCTTCCCTTTCCTATTCTAGTGAAGCTAGCATTTTAGGACTTTAATGGATAGCATGTTTTCATTGTGTTTATTTTTGCCTTCTGTTCACTTTTAGGCTGGTGCACCAACGGGACAGTTTCCTACAGGAAGTTCATCAACCAACCCTTTCTTATAGCCTTAGAGACACTTTACTGGAACGGACTTTATTGTGGTCATCTAACATCTCTCCGCCTCTTGCACTGTTGTCTCATTTCACTGATTTATCTTTAAACACAAGAGAAGTCTTTAAAAAGCCTGCATTGTGTATTAAACACCAGGTAAAATGTGCAAAACAGAGGGCTCTGGCAACATCTTTTAATATGTGAATTGGCAGAAAAGGTAGCGGTATCATGTATAGTAAAATTGGCTAATAAGTTATTGCAGATACCACGTTCATTATGCTGCAGTACTGTACATATTTTTTTTCTTAGAAATTAGCTATTTGTGCATATCAGTATTTGTAACTTTAACACATTGTTATGTGAGAATTGTTACTGGAGAAATAGATCAGCCACTTTAAGGTGCTGTCATATCTCTTGGAATGAATGAACTAAATCATTTTATCCATTGCTACTGGAAGTTATGAAGTCAAGATTGGAAGGTTTTGTTCATTCTTCAGTTTTTTTTTCTTTCCTAAAGAGCTCTTCTATTTATACATGCTTAAGTTCTTTAAAATGTAGAGGGTTACCTGTCTGCATAATAAAGCTGATCATGTTTTGCTACAGTTTGCAGGTGAAAAAAATAAATATTAGAAAATATGCTATTGTTTCTGTGTTCTTGCTGCAATGCCTTTACCAAAGTGGCCTTAAATGTGAATAGGTAAATGGGAACATCTTGAATCAAATTTTTAAAAGATTTCTCGTGGCTAACCTTTATGATAAAAATTTATAAAGATTATGGGAAGGCCATGTGGAAAATTTATTTAAAAAAGAAAACTATTACAGTTATATTCAGGAATGTCAGTGGTAAAGCATTTATATGCAGCTGGTCAAAATCACCTTAATTCTGGTTTCTTGACAGGTTATGTGTTAGCAATTTGTTTTAAAAATTGCATGTATATGTAGTTATCCAAGCCTTATTAGTATTTAATCATGAAACATAAGAAGAAAGCACAGGGCCTATTTCAATATTTTTTGTTTTTTAAGAATTATCTTTGAATGTGTTTGAAATATACATTATCTGTTTGACTTGGTTACACTTTCATTTCAGCAAATTAGATTAGTATTGTCAGAAGGAAATCTTTTTATGTTTAGTATCTGGAGCAAGAAAAACAGAATGTTCAACAGCTGACCAGTGTGCAAAATTCCTTGTTACAGGAAAGCCAACGATGTTAATGTTTGGTGGGTGCTTAACATTAACATTCAAGTGAATGCATATTAGATAATGTACAGTAATGCCTCACTCATCTGGAAGTCATTTATCTGGCCATTTCAGTTATCTTGTACATAGCTGAGAACCTTGGAATAAAAAAATATACCTCTTAGCACCACTATAGTTATTGTAATGTCTGTGTACTAAATCTCATGTACTTAACTCACAGGAGGAGAATTCAGGTCAGTAGAAAGAACATTTACTCTTTATTTTACACACAGCAGTTATGTGTGTTTTCTGACTTCCTAGTCCACAATGCATATATAGAGAGCCGGGCTTCTTAACTTTTTTGTATCATGTGTCCCATTGCCAGTCTGGTAAAGCCTAAGTCCTCCTTAGAATAACATTTTAAAATGTGCAATATAAAATACATAGGATTACAAAAGAATCAATTAGATTGAAATACAGTTTTCAAAAAAGATTTTTAGAAAGATCCAAGGTCACAAACTCTGTGTTAAGAATCCCTGGCATAGATAAAAGTTGACTAGTTGTGTAGGCACACTGACCACAGTCATGGTGAGGTTGGAGAAGGAAGCCTGAAAGTCATACACAAGAGCTAAGAAAGCATGGCATTGCAGGCTCCTTTCTCCCAGAGATATCACTGTCCAATAACGTTCACAAGTATGGTCCTGAGTTATCAAGGAACTAAATCATGTTCAGTAAAGTGTTGAACATCAGGGAAATGTGTAATACCTTTTAGAATTATTTCTCCTCAAAATGATTTAAAAATTTAAATTTGTCATTTAAAGTGGGTAAATAAATTGCCTAGAAAAACTAATAATGTGAAACAATTTCTTCCCTAACTAAATGTAGCATCATAGCATTTTAGAATGCATATGTGATATTTTGGGAGCAATTGAATCAGTGTCTGTTTACCTTGATTGATGTCTGGTTTATCATGACTATTTTACTATGCAAGCTGGCTTGTACACAGGGACCTCTCCTAATTTCCCCTTTAAAGCAATGTATTTTATCATGTTAGACTATTGAGCGTACTGTGTGATATGCACCTCTGGTCCGTCTGTGTCAATTTATACATCAGATGATTTTACATGCTGAAAGGACTACTTAAGCCCCTTTCCCATTTAGGGAAAAGGCTGTAAGAAATGTTTTTGGTTTCTAAATTTTTGTATATTGGATTTCAAATAACCTAGCTTACCATCCTGAAGAACCAAAACTGTTGCTAAAAGATTTTAAAGACTAAAATTTTTACTCAGCATGTCTTATAGGTTTTTTAAAAAAATTAAATGGAATCTCTTGTGGACTATTTTAAAATATTAGCTACCAATCTTAGATCAATGATTATTTTTTAATGAAGAGCTATTTTTGTGGCTTTGATCTTGTATAAAATTATATTTTTACCATTATCCAAAATTACATTAACTTCCATTAGAAGTAGTGCACAAAACAACTTCTCTTTATTGTAGTAAGAATGCTCAGGATCATGGTGGGTGTTTGGAGAAACTAAAGCTTTAAAAGAAATATAAACTAACTTTTTAAAAGAGTCTCAAGTTTCTTGATTGGAATCAAACTCTCTTTTTATTTCTTCTCTTAGCCATATTTCTATAGGGTTCTTTCCTATATTGGTGTAAAACCCCTGTTGTACCAGTGGAAAGGTTTTTTGTTCTGCCTTCAATAGAAAATAGAGACCAACTCAACATTTTTCTTTCTCTTTTAACAGCTATTTATGTACTAGAAGGTACATTACTGTCTTTACCCCTTAGTTGTAACTAAGTTGATATTATATAGTAATTGCTTCTACTTCAAGGTTCTGTTATTTCATCAGTGTGGGTCCTCTGTTTTCTGATGTGTGTCACGTCCTCTCTATTGCCTTATCTCTCAATCTTCATGAGTTGCCATTGCTGAAAAACTCATCGTCATGAAGGGAGGGACTGGTAACCATCTGGGCTCTCCACAGTGAGCCTGGGTGACAGGCACACAGTCCCTCACTGAGTCCTCAGTTGAAGCCTTTTTGGCTCTGTTGGACTTCCCAGAGCATGAGCTCAGCTGGATCCAAGGTGAACATCATGTTACCCTAAAGCACTGGGGGAGGATTTCACGGGGGCAGTTGTTTTCGTTCCAAAAATGGAATAGCATGATTTGTTAAAGTCTGTATTGTTCATGTGTAGTTCCTTAGCACTGTAATTTTGATAGGTGAGAGAAACATTTTAGGGTTATATACCTTTTTTAAAATAGAAAGAGAGAAAATATATTTACAACACTCAGCTGTTGAAAAAGCTGGCTAATAGAATTAAAGATGTGTTTACTCTGTGGAAAAAAGACTTGTAATATGTATTTTTTCGTGACATTTTATGTTATTTATGGTGAAAAACAGTTATTGTTGGTTGTCATTTTGATCTCACATGTTCATTGTTTTTAGAAGCCATGCAATATTAAACAAATTAGTTCAGGGCTAATGCTATCTGAAGAGCTACGATTTTTTTTTTTCTTTTGGAAAGTAGGATTTTTTTTTTCAGTCTGTTGCCCTTGCTGGGTAGGCCCTGGTGCAAATTATGGCATATTAGCCACTGATCTGTGTCCTGCAGCTACTTGTGAAGCACATACTTCTAGACATTCTTTTAGACTGAAAATAAGACATGGAGGAGAGGGCGGGAAGGGTTTATGTGGACTGATGTGAAGTGTTTCTGGGACACTTTATTGCCAAAAACCCATTTATTAAGTTAGTTGTAGCTGACTGCTGATTCCCTTGTAACATTTAGTATCTCCAAAACATGCTAAATTCTGAGAAGTATAGGACTAGTTACTTTTAACAGGCTCTGGAGATGCATGTGAGTGAAAAAAAAAAAATGAGTGTACTCATTCTCTCTCTCACACACACACACACACACACCGAGTTACTAGCAAAAAGCCTTCCTCATTTTCTCTATTCTGTTTTCAGGTTTCAGATTCAACTTCAAGGTTTACTCTTTAAAAATATGAATTTGTAAATGTGTCAAATTTTGCTAAGAGTGTATTGTCAGCTAACCATTTTGCAATGTTTTCCTATAACAAGGCACTGCTGTTTTAAGTTATGTGTCATTTAATGTAAATGGGAAACAACTTCAAATAAATTAATTTATTAATAATGTCTCTTCATAATATGGTAGAGTGGCTTGCCTCTGCCTTTTTTATTTTCACACTGCCTTGATCAGATGTCTTAATTATAATTTGATAGTTCTTTTCTTTCCCCAAGAGTTATTGTTGCATCTGAAAAGATCTTCATACCTTTGAGGTTTTATTACTTCCCTCCTTTAGGTGTTGGAATGGCTTATTTTACAGAGCTTGTTTCCTGTCTTAAAGTTCCCTTTTAGGATTGTAGCGTCATAGATTTACAGTTGAATGAGACCTTAGAGTTAATCATTTCACACAACAATTAGTAAATATCAAAATCTTAGCCCTTTTCCCACTATACTCTGCTGATTTCCTTTGACCATCACATATTAATTATGGGATGGAGTAGGAATTGCAATTTTGTTGTTATGTAATGAATTATTTAAAGTCCTGTCAATGCATCTTTCACATGGTCTGTTGTATTTTTGTCTCCATATACCCACTGCCTCAACTTTACTGCCTGGATCTGCCCTTTCTGCTCCTCTTTTCCCCTCAGACCCTCTTGCATGACATTGTCATTATTAGTCTTCCTAAGGCATTTTTTTTTTAATACATCACACTTCTATGAGGAAATCTTGAAAATCTCCCAGTTGCCTAATAGATAAATTCAAGGCCCATTGCAATCTGTCAGATTCATCTTCCTGCCTTAATTTCCCCAGGAACTGTCCCTTCTGGCCACTCTGGCTGTCTTACTCTTCTCCAGAGCATCATTTTCATTTACCTGCCTCCATTCTTAATAGCATTTACATAATTCTTTAATGTTTACAATGTGCTTTACAAATATTATCTAATTTTATCCCACAACAGCCCTGAGAGGTAGGTACTATTATTTTTCCCATCTTGGGGCTTAGGAAACTGAGACAGACAGCTTAAGAGACTTGCCCAGGGTCATACAGATCACACAACTGAGAACTGGTAAGTGTCTGCGGTTGGATTTGAATTGTGGTTTTTCAGACTCTGGGTCCCATCTGGCTTACCTTGAGTATTTTTCAATTCCCTGTTTGCCTATTGAAATCTTACCAGGACTCCATGTTTTGCTTCCACAAAGGGCCGCCTTTGACTGCCGGGACAGGAAGGGATCTCTGTTTCTTCCTAGGCTCTTCTAGCACTTGTCATCTCTTATTTGGCCATTGTCACCTGGTCGGCTTTATGTGAATGAGTCATTTCAACTAAAGTGCAAATTTAGCGAGAAATTCACCCAACAAATAAGTCCCCTTGAAAGTGGGTATTGTTTTATTATTTGTCCTTGTATTCCCAGTGCCCAGCACCAGGCACATAGCAGGCACATAACGAAATGCTTATTTGAACACTGTGTAAAGCACAAAGCAAAAGCATTGCGAGAGATAGAGCAGTAACTCTGGGGCTAATCAAAAGAAAGTTTATCTGGTTGGGAAGAAAAGATAATACACATGAGGAAGAGCTTGAGTTCAAAATGGACTTTATAGCATTAACATTAGCATCTAATCAAGAGGCAAACACATGCTGCCTTTGCAGTGGTGTTTGATCTGGGTCTTGGAGGATTTTAAAAGGTTAAGAAAGGAGAATGTGTATTCCAGGTGTTAAGAAGAAACCTAGGATTTTTGTTGAAATGGTGAGTGATACAGTTTGTCTGGACCTCAGAGATCTGAAGAATGACGTGGGCAAAGGCTGCAGAGATGGACTAGAAAGAGGGTGGATGGCCTCGAATACTGGCCAAAGCAATTAGAACTTTATTTGATAGATGGTGAAATGCCACTGCTTGCTTGGGTTTGTGTTAGGAGCATTACATAGGCCAAAAACAACATCGAGGATAGAGGCAGAGTCATCCAATCTAGCAGATGGGTGTAAAGTCACGAGGCCTGGGTTTCCATCCCAGTTTTGCTATTTACTACAAAGGTGATCTTGGAGGAAATCACATAACCTCCCTGCTCTTCATTTTCCTTATCTGTAAAGTGAGAAGGCTGGATTGGATAATTCCTGAGGGCCCTTCCAGTGACTTAAATTGGAGAAGAGGAGATTGGAAATGAAGAACC